ATGAAATTTCGATGCCAATTGAAGGATCGTCACTCCCTATATTTAGGACCTTTTAAAATAAGTGAACTAAGGTCCTCATTATCAACTATATTAATGTCACCTGTAATAACGTGTCCAGCGGGACTAAAATTATGAGGTGAAGCTAGAAGAACATAAACACGATGAAGGATTATGTTTAAGATACTAGATACCGGGTAATTATCTAGGCCATGTAAAGTTTTTTTGTAATAAAAAATTTTAGAAGCAATGGTCGATGCATATGTATAATGTTATTATAATGTATAATATAATGACACGCCTATCTATTTCTTTAGAAATTCCAAGTCGAATACTTGTAGAACAGTGCCGGGCGAATCAAATTATTCGTTACACTGTAAAATACGTTTTTAACAGAAGCGGAGACTCTCTCTCTCTCTCTCCTCTAACCTTATAAAATTTCTATTTCAGTGTAACTCATGTTACTAGTCGCAGAGAATGTGTATCCTATAGCATTACGACGAATATTTTTTTCTCGTTTCAAAAGAGATGGGCGCGTGTCGTTATAAAGCGAATGACCTTGATAAGAAACACCCACCATTTCCACTCAAACGCCAAATTTTATCACCTCAATACGCTTCATTGTCTGGCAACTCCAATAAACATGATAAATTCATAAGTATATGTGACTACCGCTTTTGGCGGAACGTGTATTACAAATCTCTGGGGCTCTCTCTCTTCGAACAATTAAATGCCGAAAACACAATGTATTGCCAAAGATTGAACTACAAATAGTAGATTGGCAAATAAGAAAAGTTCAGAACATTTTGTCAGCTTTAAAATGTGACGATTTTCAATGAAAATTTAATGAGATAAAAATAACGTAAAAAATGTAACATTTTAGGCTCCTCTCAAAAATTGATTAGGATGGTTCAGTGATTGTTTAGCAAGGTATTCTAAACTTATCTCTCCTTATAAAAAATGATCGATCTTGCATTGCATTCAATATCTTTATCATTTTGCCCCCAGCCAACATATTTCCTATATATCCGCTAAGTTAAGTAATCGCGATATCAAGTATTTACACTGGACTAGAAACACCCAAACTTTCCATTCAAACGAAAAATTTTACCACTTCATTGTATGATGTGCACAATGGCACTATCATGACTAGGTAACCCAGATTCTATAAAAGTAAAGAGTATTGATCATTGATTTTTTTTTCTATGATACGACCGGAGTTGAGGACTACTTGTAGAGATGGGTATATAAAAGTGTGACTGATTGACAACATTTATTTATTTAGTCCACTTATTCCGCAGCAAGCGATCAGATTGTTTTTAAGTCGAATTTGATTAGAAAAAACAATGACTACAAAATTAAAAATTAATATTCCAAAAATGAAAAAAAAAAAAAACAAAACAAAACATTATCAATAATTGATGAGAAAAAGATCCATAGAGAAAATAAATGTTTTATTGTTTACATATATGGGTTCAGTATGTTCCGGAGTTCAATTTTATTTTCCGATTGGGAACACAACAAGAAAACAATTTGTTTTTGTACTATAAGAATTCCCGATCCAGTTATTTTATGTATTGTTACATTTTAAAAGATGAAATGTTTTCTGACAAAAGGCGGTTGTCATATATTGTCATTAATTATGAAAAAATTCAAAAAAGACAACACCATATGAGTTTAATGAGTGTGAATAAACTCTCTCTCTCTCTCAGCCAAAACGTTTGATCAAAAAGGTCAGGTATAAGTTATTATTTAATTATCAAAGAAGGAATTAATACACATCAATGCATAAACTAGTACACGATCATAATGTATTCTCTCTCGTTTCTAAGATTCTAAGCAAAAATATGAATCCCAAAATAGGTTTGTCTGTAACGGGCGCAGTTGGTACAAATGGGAATTCCGATAGTGTGTTGGAAGACCAGCAGGCATGCTTATGAAAATTTCCTAAGGTATGTCTTAAGACGTGTCTAAGGATATTTCTTAGGACATATCTTAGGCACATCTTAAGAAACGTCTTGGGTTGTAAAACGAAAGTATCTTAGGATTATCCTAAGTTAAGATGTCGTAAATTCCATCTTAGGCATTTTCTTCGTTTTCATTTTTGTAAATGAAGCACTACAAGAAGTCCCTATTTCAAGTTAGCATCATATGTAGATGTAGGGCGGGGGGGGGGGGGGGGGGGGGTTAAGCTCCCTTTAGTTCTTTAAAGAATTTACTCAAAACAATCAAATGAAATTTTGATCCGCTGGCATACTCCTACGCTTAGGGTGACGACTAGCGAGTATGCGAGCAAATCTAGCATATAAAGCCATATGCGAATACGTTTTGTATAATTATAATGTAACCCCCCCCCAAAAAAAAAAACTTTCAGGTTTGGAGACGATTAATATTCTTATTTTCCTTACTTATTAAAACATTTCTGAGTCAGTATTTCTTTAGTGGGTGTGTCCCTAGTCTTTTTTTAAAAACATGCTTGGATCCAAGACTAATTTTTTTAAGTATGATTTTTTAAAAAAAATTCATTTAGATCTATTATTTTCATCGATTTATATTACATACATATATCTTTAGCAGTTTTATCCATTTTATCCCGTTTTGTACAGAAAATGTAATATAACATAGTTACTTGTGTACAATCTAGTTTACATTTAGCAGAATCAGAAAAGCGGAGCTACATGACAATATACAAGTACATTTTCTTCTCATAGTTATTTGTATTATTGGATAAGTAATTTAGAAAAGATATAAGGCATAACATTTTTTTCTGGTCGTTCTTGTCGCAGTTGATCAAGTTCTCTCTCTCTCTGGAAAAGGAAGAGGCAGTCACGCTTACATGTATAAACTTTCTTTATTTAAAAAAATGTGTTGTTTCTCTGCTGTCTTTATTATTTACACCGGCTAATATCAAGAAATGCAACAGATTGATGCAATACACAGGCATTAAATTCTAAACATGTATGTGCTTAGATCTTTTAAAGGTATCCCCCTACCCCTCCGTTTTTCCCCAATAAAAACAATTGATTGTATATTTTTATCTATTTTGAAAGGGCTTGAATAAATCTTTTTTAATGATTTAATCTTTAAATGCACACATGTCAATTAATGAGTGCATTTTTATTAACTGTTCTCTCCATTTTCATGTGCACAGGCATATGCATACATTCACACGGTACAATGCTCATAAATTGATTTAGTTCATTAAAGAAATCATTAATTTACAACAAATATTTGATTTTTTTACACAAAAAATCATTCCTAGTTGTTTTCCCGACACCAATACTTCTTAAAACCACCCAAGATATGACTTAAGGCATGTCCGCAGTCGTCTTAAAGTTAGGACTAAGATTAGGAGGTCTCCTAAGATAGGATAGCTTCGATGTCCTCACTTAAGACTAAGATATGTCGTAAGACCGGACCGTCTTAAGATATGTCTTAGTCCTAAGATAGCTTCATAGGCATGCCTGCTGGTCTCCAAAAACCACATAGATATTGTCAATCAGAGAGCATCTTTTTGATGTCAACTTCGGAGTACTTTTGTGTACATTCAGAATACCGGTATTTTTAACAAAATAACTTTGCAAATGACCAATGACAAGGTAAGTAGATTTACGAGTTCCATTTTTAATGAAAAAGCAGCTGTCAACTAATCAAAAAGCCTATACTTTAATTTATGTGGGGAATGTTTGTGTATAAAGTTGAAAAGACGTAAGTTTTTATGCTGTTGATTTTTGTAAAATCTTGTGTTTTCAAATGTTCCTTGGAATTTTTAAGTATCCACATCTGATTTACACCACTTCTCGAATATACTGTTGCACAGTATTCTTGAAGTTTTACCTTCACCACTGTTAATATCTTAGTGAGAAGTAAAGGAAAAGGCTTGGTTGAACATTAAGCTGAACCCGCTATGTATCTTTGTTTTTAAGGATTTTTATGACGTTTCGGAATCCCATATAGACATGGTTATTCAACTTAATTCCAGTTGTTTGATATATTTAAAATATTCAAAGCTGACACATGATTCCGAAGAATTTCTTCCTTAGAAAGGGACCCTTGAGCATAAGTTGGATTACCACTTGTAGAATTAAATCCAAGTTCTTCTAAAATACAATTCATAAAATGCGCCTTACAAACGAAGACAATGTTGTTACAGTACCTGCTTTGTCAGCAGGGATGAGAACTGATCATGTAATCTATCTAATTATTTTTTCACTTTTGGATTATTGAATACAAAAGGATATATGGTTTTCATATTTCCCCTCAATCTTTTTATAAGTGATTGAAACAAAGATTTGATACATTTTATCCATTCTGACCAAGAGTCAACGTCTTCTTTTTCATATCTGTCCCAACGCCTGGCGAAATCTTCAACAGAATTTATAATAGCTATGAAAATCCGACGCAAGTTGAGGGATCAGGGTTAAAATAAGTGATCTAAGGTCCTAATTATTCATAATATTTACGTCACCTGTAATAATGTGTCCAGCAGGACTATAGTTATAGGTGAACATGAACACGATGGATGATTAACGTGTCCAGCAGGACTATAGCTATAGGTGAAGAACATGAGCACGATGGATGATTGTTCCAAATATTCAATACAGGATTTCAATTATCAATTAACCAAAAATTTTATATGAAGCAATTTTATATTATAAATTAGCAATGAAATTAAAAGATTTGAATTTCAAAAACCATTTACATGTAGTTTTTTCATGGACGCAACACGTAATCGAATTCAACCCAAACGTATCATGATGCGATTTTACCCAATGTCATATATCAGTATACTCCAATATGAAAGTAGGGTTCATTTACACGTTTTACATAATTATACAGGGTTTTTTTCTGATGAACTTCTTTACCTTTAATGTAAATATCTCAAATCGATGGATATGTCAAAGTCATTTCAAAGTCACTACCACTTTTTTAACTAGAATATTTTATCCTAAATAGTCTGAACTCTGAGTTAGCCTTGGTTCCATCAAGTTCAATAAATTAACAAGGTTTGACCATTTATTAACAAAAAAAAACAAAAACCATTAACAAATAAAATACATTCTCATTATTTAGCTAAAAATGTCTTTGTAAGAAAAGTATGCAATTAATTTGATATGATTTTCTGAAAAAAAGTAAAATAAATAACATTGCTCTGATATTTTGATAAAATATCAAATAATAATTCAAAAATATGGTTCTTCTAAATACAAAACATATATATTCTATTAACATCACACCAATTACCTTAGAGCAAATAAAAATTTCTATCTCAAATTCAATTCCAAGATTTTATCAACATCATAATTTCGACACATCATATATGAAGTGGAACAAAAAATGTAATTGTATTTTTTTTTAATGTACATGATAAATAAATTACTAATTGTAAGTAAATGATGAATTCCATAAAAAAAAATTATATTCCAATAAATCTCCTTGAATTACTAGTAGTCATATTGTTATTTAAATCTCCTTGATTGAGTATTCCTGGTGTAAAATATCCGTTTAAGATGTACATACCTGCAACTTTTCATTAAAATCTGCTTAAAATAATTCTTTCAATTATACCTCTTTACTAATTCTAACAACCTTTATATTTCATTTGTTAAAATTAACTGATTGTGTTGTGTTTAAGTGGTTGACAGACATTTGTTTTTAATTGCTTTGTTGTTGGTTATTATTAACTGATCGTGTTAGTTGTGTTGTTGGTTATTACTAACTGATTGGTTGTTTTTAAGTGGTTGACAGACATTTGTTTTTAATTACTTTGTTGTTGGTTATTACTAACTTATTGGATGTGTTTAAGTGATTGACAGACATTTGTTTTTAATTACTTTGTTGTTGGTTATTACTAACTGATTGGTTGTTTTTAAGTGATTGACAGACATCTGTTTTTAATTATTTTGTTGTTGGTTATTATTAACTGATCGAGTTGTGTTGAAGTGATTGACAGACATCTGTTTCTTGTTATAATTTCCTTTGTTTCATTGGTTGTCTGACATTTGTGTACGAATTTGTAGTTGTTTGTAACAATTTTTTATCTGTTTGTCAGACATTTATTAATGTGTTATAACTTAGTAGTTACCAGACATTTGTTTACTTGTTATAATTTACTGGTTGTGTTTAAATAGTTGTCAGACATTTGTTTATTTGTTACAATTTAGTGACTGTCAGACATTTCTATATTTGTTATAATTTACTGACAGTGTTTAAATGGCTGCCAGATGTTTGTTTGTTAGATTGAAGTTGGTTTGAGAAGAATTCTAGGATCCTCCTCCAGGAATCTTCCTGAGCGTAACTGTGAGCTTTTGTTTCTCCACCCCAGAGAAATTCAAATTCTGAAAAAAGAATTATCAAGACATTATGGCACATGTTAATTTATGTTAATAATTAATATATGTCATATGTAAATTAAAAACAAGGGCCTTCAAGAGCACATGAGGACAATATATTGGATACAAAACTAAAACAATTGAAAGAAGTGGAGATATACATTAATTGAGCTCAAAAGTCCATTAAGTATTACAAAATAGGAGCCGAACTAATTTCAACCTCCTAAACTTCAGAGATGGGATCAGGTGCCATGAAGGAGTGAGCATCCCCTTCCGACTAGTCACACATCCCCATGTACTCATTGGCCTAACAATATGAACAATTAGTATGAAAAACATCACTTACCATTTCAATAAATGATAATTGAAGGATTATAATTTATTGCTCAGTAACAAATTTTAAAGTTGATTTTTTTACTTGTCTGTACTTGCCCCCATGTATCATTATGCAGACTACACATAAAATAGTTCTTTAGTACTATCTGTAAACCTGTATCATTATCTCTCATTCTTATTCAAAAGCACCCCTAACCATTAACAGCTTAAAAAGTACTTTTTATTTTGGATATTAAAAATTATTTTGAATAATTTTGTTATTTTTTTACACAGATTGCAGTGATTAATCATCATAGGAGAATAGCAGAGAGGAATATCATCTCTCCTTAGAACACAAATTAATAAATTAAAAAGGTCTTAAATCTATAAAAGGCCACTTCAGATTCTAAAACTTCTGAGAGAAATCATTCGTAAAGTTTCATATTCTTTGGTCTTCTTTGTCAAGAACTATGCCTGAAATTACTCCTGACTCAGAATTACAGTAAAAACTTGTTGTACAAACATGGATATTGTGAATTCACGGATATAGCGAAGTTATCTTGGATCCCAAGCAATATAAATTAAATGAATTCCTTGTACGGATATAACGAATAAGGGATAAAGCAAAGTAATTTCATAGGTCCCAGTGACTTCATTATATAACCAATTTTTACTGTATCAATACTTACGGAACACTTTGTGGAAGGAGTGCCTGCAGTGAGGTGAATATGGTGGCTCAAGAAGGTGTCCAGCTTTGGGGTACTTCATGACCTGGAACCGATGTTTATGTTCCTTTGGCACCAGTTCCATAAAATGTTCAATTACAGAGTAATTAAGACATCCATCGTCTTCTCCCGAAATGATCAGAAATGTAGCTTCACTTTCCCATCCCTACAGAATAATGTAGAAATTGGTTAGGCCATATAAAATTGAAATCTTGGTTCTCAGGCCCGCACGCATCCGTTTTGAGGTAGCCGCATTGCCTATTTTATTGTATTTTTGATAAAATAAAAAGTTGGTGCTGCGGAGACCAATCGTAAAAAAATTCAAACCTCATTTGTTTCAGTATTCAATTATCACTTCCGGTAGGCATTTACAATGAGATTTTGGCTACTTCGTTTGAAAATACATTCGAAGACATTACCTACAATGTTTACACGCTGTTAAGCAATGGATAAAGCAGAAATTTTGACCAGAAATGGAAAGTATAATTATATGTGATTAAAAAAATTATCTTTATGTTATATTCGAAATTAAAATTAAAAAAAATACCTCCCTCATCTACTTTATTGCCAATAAAATGAAAAATAAAATGCCGCCCTCCCGCATCTTTTTGGAGAAAATTGGCCTGAGAACCAAGATTTCAATTTTATATGGCCTTATCTTGGCATTTTATACTTGTACTTGAAAATAGCTAATTGTCCCATCACAGCATGATGCGCCCATAATATAGTTCAAATATTATACACAATTTAGAATGCAAGAAAATCATGTCAATCTTGATACAAAGACTTCAATGATTTTTCCATTCCTTATAATGTTTGATCTTCATATATATGTATGATATATTAGACATTTAGCGATGTACTTGATTTAGCAGACTCTGCTTTATGCCAAAATCACTGAATAGAATACACCACTAAATGTAATAAGTTTACGGTATAATTCAGTTATAACCAAGTTTTTTTCTTGAGATTGTGAGCTCTCTTTACCTTTCTCTCCCTTAAATATATTTTCAGTTTTGTATTGTTATATTGTTGTTATACATGTAGTCTTCTGTAGTACTTATATACAAGTCCTTCCCTGAGGTGTTGAGTACAATTACATGTACTTACTTTGATGAAGAATTCATCTGTGGGCTGATAACAATTTGCAATGTCTATTCCTTCTGGTGTGACCCTCATTTGATCAAACTGAAAACTGCAAGGAAACAAACAAATGAGCAATAATAACATCATAAGATTTTCACAAATATGATCAAGCACTTTAGAAAATTCATTTAGGTCATATCAAAGATAGTTTCTCTGTATGAGATGCAAATTTTAATGAAAAATAAAAACTTAAATTTTCTGCAAATCAACACTGCTTTCTGAAAAAAATCGTCTTTTTCCACTAGAAAATATACAGTGCTGTTCTTCCAATTAAAGGGAACATTTGGTCAGAATTCAAATTTCTATATATAAAAATGTACCACTCATATAAAAAGAAAAGCTGCATCTTATAACACTTCACTGCAGATAACAGCAGTTAAATTTGATTTTGATCGCTTAATTGGAGCGCCAGCATGGGGAAAACCTTATCATGGCCACTGCTGACGTAGTGTAGACAGAATAAATGCCAGATGTACAGAGTCAATGTGTTTATGACTGCAGATAACTAAATTCTTTTTTTCAGAAATAAGCTAATTCAAGCAATTGTTAATTTGTAGGAAATAGATTAACATCCTTCTTGGACACATTTAAACTTTAAAAAGTTTGAATTAAAATCAAGTAAAATTTAAAAATAAAACAACCTTTGCAGCTAAGTTTTTAATTAAAGTTAAATCGCTACCAGTTTATGGCTTTTTATTATTAATTCCTTCTTTTATTTTTCTGATTTCTGAAACACTAGAAGCATAAGAATGCGAAACTATATTTCCTATATTACATACATTCAGATCAAAAATTAAATTGCACACACTTAATTGGCACATTTTCACTACTTGATTCTGACATGACAATGTTTACACTTAGAGCCAATGTGCCCCCAATACGTCATAAAAGCAAGCCGGATAACTTTATCTCTCAACATGGCAGCCTCCAGCAGCCAGTTCATTCATAACTTTGGTGTTTAAAGCAATATGAGCTGCATGTTTGACATCGGAAAAAAATGTAGCAAATTTGTAATTAACTATTTCATTGACAGATAAATAGAACATTTATTAACTTCTATTGTTCATATTTGCTATGAAAGAACTTTTTATACGCTTTGATTGAAGAAAAATTGAATTGTTGTCGTCCTGTACAATAATGATTTCTTATATAATACTGAATATTCAGTTGTACAGAAATATTTCTTCTGTCACATTTTTAAACTTTATTTAGATTTTATTGATCATAATGATTTAGATAACACACAGATTAATCATAATAAAATATTTTACCAGCAAAATAAAATTTTCAAAAATGCAGCTCATATTGCTTTAATTACTTTATAATTACAATGTAAGTAAAAAAACAAATGGCAGTATCAGATAAAATTCATTAATGACCATTCAATGAATGAAATATGAAAAAGTTTTTCTTGACCCGACGTTTCCTTTAAGTGTTAAAATATAACTAAATAAATTAATTACCCTTTGCTTACCAAGAAGAAGGGCGAGGGAAGGGTGGAGTTTTGAAATTTGAAACTATGGTGTAAATTGTGGTATTGCTCTCATATATGTAATTTGTTTCTCTAAATAAAAGTCTTTGACTTACTCGATGTTTTCTATGTCTCCCTTGCTGTACTTAAGGGGAGCATCAGAATAAAATGTTACCCCATTCACCAGAACAACAGCTTTGATCTGAAGAAAACAATGACCACAATTGATAAAATAAAAAGGATTAACAACAAATACGCTGTACATATGTAAATGATGGCAATATACCCAAACACATGACTCTGAATTATGTTGCAAAGTTAAGGTGTAACAAATTGATAAAAACTGAAGCTATTTACAAGATTTTTTTTCGAGGTAATTAACATTGAAAATAGATATAATTCAAAATATTATTGAAAATCATTTATAAAATCACATCCTCACAGTTCAAGATATGAAAAAATAGATTTCAACAAATGAGCTCTTTACTTGCTGCCATTAGTTTACTTCAGATACTCAAAGAACAGAATCACAGTCACACCCAATTTTTGAGTATTAAAAAACCCACTACAAATTTGTCTGAAGTTGGATAAACATGTATGTACGAAGGGTGTCCCAAAATTTCGTAGACTGAGCTCATATCTTTTTAATAAATTAATGTATCTTAGTAAAATTTTCAGGGTGGATAAAGCATGTTCTTGGCAGATAAATTACGAAGTTTTATCAAAAAATCAAAAAAGGATAAAAAAATTTAAATAGTACATGTAAGTTTATATTCATTGTTGTAATGATGTTTACTTGAAAACTTTTCGAGTAATAACATTTAAAGTGATATAGTTCTCCAACACCCGGAGCAATCTGCAACGTCAAAAAATACAAATGTCAACGGTTCAAGTTTTTGGAGAAAAAATTTCAATTACCAGAATCAAATTCTTAAATTAAACGAAACGGTTATAGTTATAAATGTAAAATATCTTAATCACTATGAAATGATCAAACATTAAAATATGTTAACAAAGTACATGCATATACAGGTATGAAATAATAATAATTTGAAAACGGTATATTTCTACGGGCTTTTCGTCTATTTTCTCTAATGGATTTGCACAATGGAACTCATGCCCATTTCTTAGCCATGTCTTTTATTTTAATTACTCTTATTGGCATATACATAGAGAAACTGTTTTAGCCATTTTAAATACTAAGGAGGAGAAAAAGTTTCCTAGTCTACCAAACATTTATGACTGGTACATTTCTGTAAGAGTGAATTCAGGATCAAAACACTCGATCATAGTCCAGTGCGCCGCCTTGGCCAACGCAGCCGCTATTTTTCAAAAATTCGGATTTTAAATCCATGTATATAAAACGTTAAAAAATTCATATTTATCAAAGCATACACACCAAAATTTGAGAAAATATAGTTAATAAAACAATATTAAGAATTTTCATTTCCATTTAAAAAATATGGGGTAGGATTTTATATATACCAAATTTTAATTGCAACTTTTGGGTATTGCGCCGCCTTCCTACACCAGACAATGAAATGTGTCTTTTAAATTGGAATAATTTGTGTAGTTACTCCATATTTGTCCATAAATTTATTAGATAGTGTTTGTTTAATATAAATACGAAGTTTCATTCATGTATGACGTAGGGTTCCTACAAAACAACGCTTGTCTACGGAATTTTGGGACAACCCTCGTATATTGTTACTTATTTCCACCCAAAATAGCCAGATCTTCAAATTTGATAGCAATGTATCCAAATTTATACACATGTAAATCATGCTGAAGAAATGATAACAGCAAAAAAATAATATGGGAGGAAATAATAGATCTAAGACTCTAATTAGTATTGTTATTACTACAATTAAGAATTCATATATTGATACAAAACTATTAAAAGTGTTGTTTTTTTTTTAAGTGGAAAGAGTTTACAACAATTTTACAGTAATTTTGATGAACCTTCCCCCATATATAATTTAAAATTATATCTAAGCAAGCTCTGTATTCATCATCTAATAAAGTACAGGATTGACTGCCTTTCACCCAGGTGTAGTTTTTGTCTTTCAAAATCTTGATCTATAACTTCCACATGTAAATATCCACTATACAGCAAAACACGGTTCTAAGGAAGTCACTGGGACCAATGAAATTACTCCGCTATATCCATAATTCATTATATCTGTATAAGGAATTTTTTTAAATTCTTATAGCTGGGGATCCAAGATAACTTTGCTATATCCGTGAATTTGCAATATCCGTGTTTGTACCATAGAAGTTTTACTGTAATGTATGGTATAAACATTTGTATGGTTTGATTTCAATTTAGCAAAGAATTCTCAAAAAATTGGGTTGAAAGTACTGCTTTAATATCTAACTTATCATGTGACTGAATAATTCATAGTAATTTACTCATGCAGTTCTTTAATTTTGTTTATTTGTTGTTTAATGTCTCTTTTGAGAATTTTTCACCACAACATGCTGGTAGATAGCTGCAAATTTATACCTATACCTGGCACTCAAGGCCATTGAGCAGTGAGGGATCTTTTGTGCCAGCACCTAAATTTTAATTGGTCTCATCCGAAGGACTGGTCTCCACATCCCACGACATAAGGATGAACTCCTTACTCTGATATTTTAGAGCTGACACCCATACCCCTGTATCACACAGATGACCACACTTTTTTGAAGAGGAACAAAAAAGTAAACTACAATGTAGACATCCTCGAAGAATCTGGGGGGATTAGGCGAGTCATATGCCCACACGGATTTTGTAGCACTGTAAGCATATCGGAAATTTCATAGTTGTACGATTTACCTAAACATTTAAACTTTGTACAGCACTGTCAAAATGACAATATCTATGTATATTTTTTAACCTTTCGGTTTTCATTACAGTATATTTTAATAGGTGATGCTTTTCATACTGCATGTTAATTTGAATTGTTCTATAAAATATGTTTTCAGGGGTTGGGAGACGGTACGCATTACCTTTCCTTGTAACTGTTTTTGCATACAGAACAGCCATATGGTGTTGGTCTACCCATGATTGTTTACATTTCAATCCTGTAATGTAGTCTTGAACTCAATGCATTCAAAATGTTATATATCTTGAAAACATGTTTATGATAGGAAATATATTTATTGACCATAAATAAATTCATTATCTTATTTAATCATTTTGTTTTTAGTGAAAAAATATTTTATATCTTTCTAAATTTCAACCTAATCTTTAAAAAATTCGTGATTCGAACACTCGCGACAAATAACTGGGTGCTTCAACACCGCCGCTATGACCACTGAGCCACGAAGTCGCACATATACGTTGCCCTTTAAATAACAAACAGATTTATATGCATAGCAAACACACAATTGGACTTGGAGTCTTTGAGAATATGTTCCGAAATTTAAGTAGGTAAACTAACTTTTTTATACAGAGTGGGTCCTCGTACCATTTTTTTGAAAATGGTTAGAGATAAATCCTTTCATACCCTTTCAATATTTGTTTGCAAGAAAATGGTTTGAAGACCCATTCTATATAAAAAACACAATTTTAACATTCAATTTCTATCATTTTAATGGTTACTAAAGCATGTTACCATTTTGACGGGTTAATTACAATCAATTTCTAAGTCATTTGATTCAGGTTATTTCTTTACTGTATGCATATGGTTATAAATAACTCCCAAATTTAACAAAAAGTGGAATTTGTAGGAATTTTTAAATTGATATTTTACATGCCCTTGCATAGGCATATGACTCGCCTAATCCCCCCAGATTCTTTACCAACAAATTACTAACCTGTGGGACATGTCTACAGAGCTCCATGGCATACATGCCTCCCTTAGAAATTCCGATTATACCTATCCCATCATGCTTCACTTCTGGTATCCCCGCAAACCACTCCACACTCTCCTTTAAGGCAGAAAATTTTCAAACAAATCTGACAGTGACTGACTTAAGTGTATGTATACATGTATATATATACATTCAATAAAAGACCAAACTAGAAAACTGACCAGTCAGCAAGGGCCCCACTGAGGGGTAGAAATATAAGGGTGCAGCTCATTGAATGAGAGTTTTACTTGATTACATTTTTTTTTTATATATGAAGATTATAAGTAACAACTGCATGCATTTCTAAAATTTCAAGATAATTCCTGAATGTCCAAAAACCTGTAAATAGTAACCCTGTACATGTATTAACATAAAACAGGGAAAACCTCAGCTCTTATTAAAAAAAACTAAATTTAATGTGTATTTAAAATAGATTTAAGCAGGTGTTTTATAAAATGCTAGCCTTCAGTGATTGCAAATATCACCCAGGGTTGACCTCAACTTCAAAACAAACATCAGTTGCAGACAAAGGTGTTCATTAATCTTCATATGACAGATAAAGATAAACCTCTAAATTTTCTGCAGCAAGCAAGAAAATTAATCCCAGGGGATTAATATTGTACGGGTCTCCCATCCTTTTCTTCTATATAAATTTACAATAAGAACTTTTTTCAGCATTGAATGGGGTTATAATATCTGATTACCTGTTAAAATTAACAGCATTAAGGCAGCAAAAAAAATTAAATTAAATAAATAATTAAAAAATAAAATAGTAATGATAAAAAAGGATATCTTAATATATATCTTGGTTTTAGAATTCAAAATTATGTTAAATCGTTGTGTACAGTATTTTAACCAATATAAAGTATGAACATTATTTTAAATCCATATTTCAAAGAATGTACACATCATTCAAACTTGACCTTAACTTCAAAACAAAGTTCATTGCAGACAGAGGCTGGTACAGTAATTAATCTCAATGTGACAGATAAAGATAATGCTTAGGATTTTCTTCATGTGGAAGGTTAATTAATCCCAAAGGACAAATTGCACAGCCTTCCCAGTTTACAATGGTAACATTCTCAGCAGTTATCTCTCTTTGCCCAATCATTCTTATGCATAGTTCAGGAATCTACCCCACCACCCCAGCTCCAAACCAGAAGACATAGAGAACCAAACTTAGCATCAAAATATGTATTTCTGCCTACTGAACTACCATACCAAATTTGAATCTGATTGGGCAACCTGAAAAAAAGTTATTAGAAAAAAACAGAAAATTTGTGGACGGAAGAGTGACAGACGGACAGACAGACAGACGGACGGACAGAGTGATTACTATAGGGCACCTGCAAATCCTTGCGGGGCCCTAATTAATATTGAAATGTTAAGATACATGTATATTCGAACCCCCTATCATTTTTTATCAATAACATTTTAGCCACAATATTTCAAATCCTCAGATATCTCAGAAGTTCAAATGGTAAAGCTTGACTGTATAAGTTTCCTTTATCCATGCTGTTCTCATGAGAAATTGGATGTTTAAACTGAGATATTGAGGATCATCATATTTTTTCGACACCTTTTTTTCGCAAGATATCTATTTGATATTTATAAGAGATACAAAATTTTCTTAAGCTGTGAATTTCTTTTGTAGATCATCCTTAACAATATAAATATACTAAAAATACAATTTTTTAGGACAGACAGACTTGCTTAATTACTCAAAAATAAAGGTCTCGTGAATAAAATATGATTAACAGTAGTCCATTGAATGCTTATAATAAGAAAATCCAATGAATTCTTACTATGAGATAATCCAGTGACACATCTGGCATTGTTTCTGGTAAATCTTCATACGCAAAAAATGGCAGAGCAAATACACAATAACCGCGGGAGGCTAACAACGCTGCTCTGTGGTCAAAAAGTCCCCCTCCACTACCAAACATGTCAATCACCCCCGGAAATGGCCCTGGTCCTAGAAAGGAAAAATAGCCCTCTTCAAACTCATATAATTCAAAATTAATTTCATTGACATCTTGCAAATACTGAAAATTACAATACACTATGTAAAAAAATCAATATGTTTTACTAATTATGTCTCAATTTTCACCTTACTTATCAAACAGGAAAATTAAAGCATTCTAAGTTCAATCTCTTAAAATTCATCAGTTCTTTTTAGGCAAACTTTTTCTTAAAAAGTGAAAACCTCAAATAACTGACTCCACACTAATCTAGTGTTTCGGGGGTGTGATATTTACGAGAAATTTTGATAATTAATTAGCTGTAAATCCGCAATCATCCCACGTGGAATTTAGTCTGCCACCAATTCTGAGGCAATCTCGTAAACATCATACCATGTATCTGTAAGGTGGAACTGACGTACAGAACTATAGTCAATATTTCCCGCAACCTTCTCGGAATCTCTACATTTGTAGATCACAAAGACGAAAAGTACTTGGGGGATATCAATCGCAAAATGGGTATTTTTTGAAACTTACCAGCAAAAAAACAATTTTTTAAGGATGGCCTTACAATACACTATGTAAAAAAATCAATATGTTTTACTGTCAAAGGGAAAGTACCTAATTATTGACATAAAAATCAATATACAGAGAAAATGCTCCCTCCCCTGATGTTTCCATTGCTAACTCTCTCTCTTCTAACATTCCTGTCTTTGTACCATCTATATACATCTAATGTAGCTAGAGGCTTCGGGGGTGGATCAAACAAAGTTTCCCAAGAGTGGTGACCTTCAATCACTGACAATGTCACAACAATAGGAGAAGTCACATCCTTTTTCAGAAATCTTATGTTCTGTCGGGAAGACGGTTCAGGTTTCATACTCCAAAATAAACCCATGGGCTCCAAACCTGTATTTTATGTAATGAAATGGGAAGTACACATACAGTACAATGTGTTTTAAACTGATGTGTTTTAAATTTAAATTTTAAACTTGATGTCCCCATGCAGGGCTTACCTCTAAAATAATTTACTTACACAATAAAATACGCCACTGTGAGAAATGACACTATGAGGAAGAGTTTCACATGAAATTCAAATTAAAACTTTTTACCAGGTACATGAAATTTGCATAGAAATTTTCAAACAAATTTTACTAAAAGCTCTTGATAAAAAATATTTCATAAAAATTTTTTTACATAAAATTTGCATTGAAATTTTCACAAAAATCTTGCGTAATTCTCTTGATATGTAAAATTTGATGACTCTTATACAATATTTGATATTGCATAAACAAATGTCTAATCAGATGTAGATAGACAATTGTGATCATGAGCACATCAGACCTGTATATGTCCCCTGTACAGAAGCTTGATCCTCCACCGTCACATGACCCTGCTCTGATGCTGTGTAACAACCATATGATGCAAATCTATTGTTACCCTCTTGTAGAGAGGCTTTGATCGTAACAGGGCCATTCTTTGGTAAGCCATCCACCTTGATGTGGACACGTTCATCCACTAATGCCTCATGTGGAACTACTGATATTTTGACATCATTCATGTGGAGAGCTGATGTGGCAAAGCAACTAATTCTCTGCACTGTTGTCACACCGGCTAGTAACTCTGAAATATATATAAAACAAAAACATCAAATATCATTTAACAAGTGGTTACATAATCAACAGCTGTTTTATTGCGCTGGACATACAAATCTGAATCTGCTCTGTATAGGTACTCTCAAATTTTAAATACTAGTATGATCAAATGTCCCCTAACACTTGAAAATACATTAAGATTTTTTTTCTCTAAATATTCTGTTTTAACCCCTATTAAGTTCAATTCTCAGACCAGGAACTGTGATAAGAGCAAACTTTACTGTTAATCTTCATGACATTGAGAATAAAATAAACCTATAGTAAGTTGACAAGCTTGCATGCAACATAGTGATTGAGCAGGGCAATAGGACCATATAATTTTAAAGATAGAATGTACATGTACACTATAATCTGAGATTCACAACTTACTATTTAAGATCTCTTATCTCATGCACATTATTGTTAATGTTTACTTACTTTCAAATCTCACACTACATGTGTATTTTATATAATCTTTCAAATTATCAATATCAAATGATCACTGATAATGAAAAATTATTCATTTATACAACATATTTTTTCAAGTTTATTAATTTACATGTTATTAAATTACAAAGGAATAATTTTTATGATAATGTTAACACAAGCATATCTGCACTCCTTAAAAAAGAGGAGGAGGTTGAACAGAAGAATTTATGGACATTGGACACTCACTATATTGTTCAGAAATACTTGGTGTTTACTTTAACAATCTATCCATGTCAGAGACATATATAACATTTTTATCTCTGCCCACGTGTATGGTTTGATAAAAAAAAAATACATGTAGTCTGATATTAGGGCAAATGATTTTCAAAGGTTGATACAGGCACTGGCAGTGTACGTATATATAGTATGTGCATGTATAAAAACATCTTTTTCTTCGAAGGAAGGGCTTTGGAGCGGAACAAAACGGAACATTTATTGAGAAAGTAAGTTATATGTGAACGATTAATCGCGTCAAGTCCTCTGAGAAAGGCTCACACACAATACCCCAAACCCGAATTTGCCTCAAAAAGAGCGCCCTACCCTTCTTTTTTATACATGTACATACTATATATTCACATTAAACTTCCAGTACCCGTGATGGTTGAGAAGAAGTTATCAGCTATATGACTACATGTATAAGTCATACTATTCAGAAAAAGATAAGTGCTCTAAAATAAGTCAAACTTGTAAGGCTCAAGAAAACGTTAAATATACATACTTCTTAATGTATTCTGCAGGACCATACTTTTTTCAACAAAATATTTCATAAATAATCTGTAGATTTATCATGTTTCTTATTCAAAGACGTTAATCAACATTTAACCAAACTATCTGTTTTCCGACGATCTCTACTTTCATTTTAAGTTTTAAAAAATTATTTAAATGCCGATCCCGATTCAAATCAGAAATGTTCCGTCTTTGAGATTTGTTAATGTTAAAGTGAGACGACACGTTTATCAAAAATATATAATTTTTCCTAAGAATTTGACATTGAAGTATAGGTACTTAAAATAAACAAGTTACCTAACAAAAAATTAGGGTACCTTACCAGGCGTTTGGACAGATACCACAGGGTCATATCTCTCATATAACCCTTATGGGTTATCTTCTGAATGGTCTATATCACAAATTTTTGATGTACTTATATTTAAAAACATTTTGAAAACAATGTAGAAATCAGAATAGAATGACAGATATGAATAAGTTTTGATATAATACCAATTAAGAGATACAAAAGAAATATATTTGAGGAACTTGTCATCTGACCTTAAAAGAAAATTTAAAAAATCACATTTAACGGATATTTTTAAATAAGTTTAAATGAATCATAGATTTATAGAAAAAAAATTCTGCACTGTTTATATTTCACTTTCAAAATGACACATTGACAACCATAGGGATTTGTCTTCCGGATTGGTAATGTAAAGAAATAAATAAAATTTTGAATCTTTGAATATACCTAAAAGTTGTGAAATAAAGATTCTGACACTTTCAGGCAAGAAAATAAATAAAAATCTAGCATTCCTTTGACTGCATTATAGTAGCTGGTATCTGTTTTGGTTTACAGGGACATACGGGACATTTTTATTTTTAATATATGATGCATTTAATTGACGTCTAAAGTCAAAAGAAGTGTTTATGAAGTATGTCTCCTTTAAACACAAATAAAAATCAAATATTTTTTTGACTGCAATTTAGTATCTGGGTATAGGAGTCAGTGCTTGAATGAGTAATCTCCCATTGTAAGCGAACACTCGGTGAAACCAAAGACAGTAAAGCTATTGAAAATAATCATATTGTATAAAAAACTGATTATTTATATTAAAGAGACTCAATGCTGAATACAGAAGGATAGATGGTTTTCATATTACCCGTCAATTGTTTTTTAAAATACGTGATTGCGACATAGATCTGATACATTAATTTAATCCTTCTGACAAAGTGTCATGGTCTTCTTTTTCTTATCTGGCTGAAAACCTGGCGCAATCTTCTACAAAATCCATATTTATGAAATTCCGACTGGTGAAGGATCGGGGTTCCCTATATTTAGAACCTTTTTAAAAGTAGTATTATTAAATATATTAACGTCACTTGTAATAACGTGTCCAGCATGACTATATAGTTATAGGGTGACGAAGAATATGAACACGATGGAGGATTATGTTTCAGATATACAATATCTTTTATTCGATAGAGGATTTCAATTATCAATTAAACAAAATTTTATTCTCTATATACATGTATTAAACAATTTTCTAATTTTGCAATGGAATCAATGAAACGATGTGAATTTTAACCAGAAGTCTCTGTCGAGACTGTAGCTCTACTGGTTTTTTCTTCTAATAAAGGATGAGAAAAGAAGCCATTGCCATCAGACCAAAACTGTAGGAGGAGTATCGTTTTCAAGAAATTTCAGACATTTCTATTTTAGTAACCATGAGATCAAAAACCGATGCACTAAATTACTAGTATGTATCACAGTGTATTCTACCTGTATTCCAAGTTATATTGAAATCAGACCAAAACTGTAGGAGTAGCAATCTAAAAGAATTTCAAAGAAATTTCTATTTTTAGTAACCATGGCAACACCATTCATCGAAATCAAAAACCGATGCACTATATTATGTATCTTTGTGTAGTCTATTTGTGTGCCAAGTTATATATTGAAATCAGACCAAAACTGTAGGAGGATTAGCGTTTTAAAAGGATTTCAAAGAAAATTCTATTTTTGGTAACCGTAACAACACTGTTCATCGAAATCAAAAAATGATGTACTATTTCATGTATCTTAGTGTAGTCTACCTGTGTGCCAAGTTATATTGAAATCAGACCAAAAGTGTAGGAGTATTAGCGTTTTAAAGGCATTTCATGAAAATATCTATTTTTTAGTAACCATTGCAACACCATTCATCGAAATCAAAATCGATGCACTATTTATTGCATCTTGTAGTCTACTTGTGTGCCAAGTTATATTGAAATCAGACCAAAACTGCAGGAGGGGTAGCATTTTGAAAAATTGTTTGCAGACAGACGGACAAACAGACTGCTAGACAGCCGGACAGACAGACAGACGGACACCTTACTATCGCATAAGCTTTTCTGGTCTCTGACCAGTAGAGCAAAAAACCAAATCACTATAGCTTTTCAATCTGGATGCAACACCAGTAATCGAACTCAATCCAAACGTATCATGATATACCCAATGGGATACAGTACTGTAATTAATACTAATTATATCATTACACTCCAACATAAAAGTATGGTTCATTTATGTGTTTTACATATACAGTCAAACTTGTTTTAAGAGGCCACCTTTGGGAAGTCTAAAAACTGGCCATGCACTTAAGACAGGTGGCCTCTTATTCCAGTTTGCCCTCAAAAGGACATTCGGTCAATAAATAAACAAAATTAAGCATACAGTTTAATTAATTAATCAAATAATAAAACAGGTCAATTTCAAAAAAAGCTTTTTATGTGAATATATAATAATTCAAGTTCATTTGAAAAGAATATTAAAGAATTCGAAATGTTAAGGTTTTGTGCATGTTTCTGTTCCAACATATTAATTAAACATATTGCATTCATCAGTGTGCTTTTGCTACATTGAAATATGAAATAAATTATTTTTAGTACATTTGAAGAAATATATACAGTGCCTGACTTTTATCCTTTTTTATAAAGAAAAAAATGCACAAATATATAGTTTAATGGTAAAAGAATAAAGCATAGAAATTTAAGTACGAATATTTCAATAAAAATTTCACTTTCATATGTTCAAAAAATGGTCAGCAGTGTAACCCCTACCCCCCACCCACCCCCAACTGAATTAATCAGCAATTAACTTACTTGCTGAAGTTTTTAAAGCCTGGTAAATTTTATTGTTTATCAAGCTGTCAGAATTTCTATGTAATATACACAGACACACAATATTAAGTGGCCGTTGATTTCGGGTGGCCGCTAAGACAAGTTTGACTGTAGTTTTTTTTATATTCCCCCGCTTAAAAGTGGGAGGGTATATACCCTAGTTACTAACATGTCCGTTTGTTACACTTTGTGGTGCGTATCACTGATCCGAAACTCCTCTTTTACCACTGAATATAATGTCATGATACTTTCAGATTTTTTAAACTACATAATGCCATTAAGGTCAAGATCTAGTAAATGAAAGGTGCCTACAGATTTATCAAACTTGAGAAATAAATTCCTTCATTGATGCTTCGCAACTTTAGCTTGGTCAGATAAGGTGTTTCGGGGCATAATTTGTAGGTAAACAAGATGAAAAACCGATTTTAAACTGTCATTTTTCAATGAAAAATAAAGAAAACCAGTCATGAATATGGGTGGGTTTTTTTTCGTATTCGGCAAAGGAAATGTATCCAGATTGCCTACAGTCTCTCAGAAAACGGTAATTAGTATGTTCATAGCCTCTTCTTTAAATCTATATCAAATCTAATATAGGTATCCGGTTTACTTTTCATATGATTTTAAATTGAATGACATGAAAATACACTATTTTCTACATAATTCTACTAAAGCCGTAAAGTACGGGAAAACAAAAATTGAAATTGATTATGACGTCATAATGGATCTTGCACCAAAAAATTAGTCTCAAGTTATTTACTAGATCTTGATCTTAAGCACCTCCTATTTAATTTTTGATCTGACACTTATTTTGGGTCTCTCACAGCAAAACATGGAATTTGTCATTGTAATCATATGGACTACGAGGGTATCATTTATTGAGCTCAGTTTCTGTTGAACTTCTTTACCTGGAATGTAGATATATTAAATCCATGGATATGTTAAAGTACTAAGTAATTTCAATATCCCTACCACTTCTTTAAATTATATTTTACCCTAAATAGACTATAAACTCTCAGTATGCATTAGTTTCATAAAAAATAACAAGGTTTGACCATTTATTAACAATAAAAAAGGCATTCATAAGTATACAAATAAAATACATGCCCATTAGTAAATAGTCCTTTTAAGAAAAATATATGTTTGCAAACAATAGGAGATTCATTTCTCTTCTAAAAAAGTAATATAAATAAAATTGTTCTGATACCGGTATTTTGATAAAATATCAAAGAATAATTTAAAAAAACAAAAATGTTTTTTCTATCTACATGTATATATTACAAAACAGGAAGCAAATAAAAATTTCCATCTCAAATTCAATTCCTAGATTTTATCCAAATCATAATTTTGTCACATCAAACAAATTGCATGTATACACATATACAAATACATGCGTTTTGTACATATATTATAAATCACTAATTGTAAGTAAATGATGAATTCAATTAAAAAAGAAATACCTTTTCATTAAAATCTACTTAAAATTATTCTTCAATTACACCCTGTCTCAATTCTAACAACTTTTACTTTTTGTTCGTTATAATTCACTGAATAAGAGTTATGATTAACTAATTGTAATTAAGTTGTTCAAGACATTTACACTGTAGTTTGTACATGTTGTAGTTGGTTATAGTGTACTGATCGTGTCTTGTCTGATTGGTTGCATCACATCTACTGAGTATTTATTGTTATAATTTCCTAACTTTGTTTCCTTGGTTGTCTGACATTTCTTTATAGGTTTGTAGTTGTTTGTTACAATTTATTGATTGTATTGAATTGGTTGCCTGACATTTATTCATTTTGTTATAATTAAGTGGTTGTCAGACATTTCTTTACTAGTATTTGTTATAATTAACTACATTGTAGTTGTTTTGTTTAAAACTTAAAATGGTTGCTAGATATTTTTTTATTTGTTTTTTATTAATTGGTTGCCAGACAATTCTTTATTTGATATAATTTACTGGTTGTGTTTAAATGGTTGCCGGACGTTTGTTTATTTGTTATAATTTACTGGTTGTGTTTAAATGGTTGCCAGACATTAGTTTGTTATAATTTACTGACTGTGTTTTAGTTGCTGACAGGCGTTTGTTTATTTGTTATAATTTACAGGTTGTGTTTAAATGGTTGCCAGACGTTTGTTTATTTGTTATAATTTACTGACTGTGTTTTAGTTGCAGACAGGCGTTTGTTTATTTGTTATAATTTACTGGTTGTGTTTAAATGGCTGCCAGACATTTGTTTATTAGATTGAAGTTGGTTTGAGAAGAATTCTAGGATCCTCCTCCATGAATCCTCCTGAGCGTAACTGTGAGCTTTTGTTTCTCCTCCCCAGAGAGCATCAGATTCTGAAAAACAATCATTAAAACATTATGACACACATGTTAATAAACATTGAATGTTAATAATACTATTCAATTCTTGCTGTTTTAGCCATCTGAGGAGTATAATACTTGGTATTCACTGAGCCCGAAGGGCGAGGTGAATATTGTACTTCAAAGATGGCTAAATCATTGTATTGATTGAAAAAACAGCAGTAACTGTTTTATCATATGACTCACTGATAAAATGAAACAGCTCATTACTTGTTTGCATTTAATTAGTTTATTAAGTCCTAGCCAAATACAAGAGAAAAGCAGAATTAAAATATAAATAAACCTTACCAACCGTATCAGTTTGAAATGTTTTTATCTATATTAGTTGCCATTAAAAAAAGATATGTCAGTCTTTTTTTTATAGGATTTTAAAAGGAAGTAGTATTTTCAGGGAAAACTGAAAGCCGAAAAAAGTGTATTGTTTCAGTAAAAAAGTGTGTGTCGGGGGGGGGGGGGATCCCCTAGCTATATTCCCTCTAACCACCCTCACCCGAAAATATATACATCTATTCGCTTATGGTTTGTTCATATGAAAAAAAAGTCATAGTAGTTTAAATAGAAAGTCATGGTACTTTAAATAGCAATTTGTATCAATTTGTAATTTCCCGATCCTTTTTTAGATCAATGTAGAGGAAATAAATCCTTGTATTCACCTGGAACGTCCCGTGCGGGTTAACACAACGTAGTATTTCTTCCATATAGTTGGATCTCAGCAAATCAGAAAGATAGGCATTTTTCAATCATATAATATGATATGATATCTGGAAACAAGGGCCCTCAAGACCACATGAAGACATACATGTACATAGGATACAAAATAAAAGGAAAGATGTGGAGATAAACAGTAACTAAGCTCTAAAGTCCATTAAACATTACAAAATCGGAGCAAACATGGACCTCTAAAACATTAGAGATGGGATCAGGTGTCATGGAGGAGTGAGCATCTCCTGCCAGATGGTCAAACCCGCTAGGTTCTCATTGTTATGTTTAGGAAATAACAGAAAAATATGTCGACAATTCAGTGTGTAAATGATGGCCTAACAATTAGTATGAAAAACGTCACTCAGCATAAGACTCAATGATAAACTGTTTCTGCTGAAATAAGCCGATATGTGAAGGAGAAATAGGATAATTAGGGATCAGCAAAATGATCAGCAAAATGATTGATTTAGTGCTCAGTAACATATTATCTTAAAGTTGATTTTTTAAAAAATATCTGAACTTGCCCTCTTGTGGTATGCAGACTACACATAAGTTCTAAGCACTATAAGGTCTACTCACTATTTGTAAACCTGTCTCATTTCTTCTCATTTTTATCTATTCAAAAGTAAACATCACCATCAAAAACTTAAAACGTACTTATTATAGATCTTATAAATTATTTTGAGTGGTCTTGACCTACACCTATAAGACAGAGGGGGTGAGGAGGAAGGGGTACAATTTGAACAAACTTGAATCTACACTATCTGAGGATGCTTCCAAATAAAATGACAAACCATGGCTTTGCTGTTATTGAGAACACGATTATTCCCATATACTCCTACGTTAAACTTTGACCGCCCATTGTGACTCCACTCTACCCATAGGGTCATTATTTGGAACAAACTTGAACATACACTACATGTATACACTACATGTGGATGCTTTCACATAAATATGAACAATCATGGTTTTGGTGTTCTTGATGAGAAGATATTTGAAGATTGTTCCTATATACTCCTACATTAAACTTTTATTGTTTTATTTACCTTGCTCCATCCTACCCCAAAGGGTCATGATTTGAATAAACTTGAACTAAGTATACACTACCTTTGATGCTTTCACATAAATTTGACCAACCATGGCTTTGATGTTCTTGAGAAGATTTAAAAAAAAAATCCTATATATCTATGTTAAACTTTGATCGTCCATTGTGGCCCTTCCCGTCCCTGGGGGTCATATTTTCAACAAACTTGAATCTACACTACCTGAGGATAATTCCACATGAGTTTCATTATTCCTGGCCCAGTGGTTCTTCAGAAGATTTTAAAAAAGATTCCATTAATTTTTCGCTAATTCGTAATTATCTCCCCTTGGAAGTGAGAATGGCCATTTATGTAAACAAACTCCCCTTCACCCAAGGATACTTTGTGGCAAGTTTGGTTGAAATTGGCCCAGTGGTTCTTGAGAAGGTGAAAATGTGAAAATGTTATACTGCATGAGGCCGGTTCCGACAACAACGACAGAAAACGGACAAAGAAAGTGGAAGCTTTAGATGGCGATTCGGCAGGAATTGTGGCTCATAAAAAAGAATTTAAAAATGTCATTGATTTATACATTTTTTTGCAAATCCTAGGCATTGACTGTGTAGTAGGTAAATGTAAAATGGGCAAATATTCGGTTGAATATGTCTGATTTTATTTGAATATGGACCTGAATATATTAGCCTTACGAATGAAATAATGCAAAAATCGACTCTTTAATAGCAGTTCTTCATAATATTGTTGTTTCTGGGTCTTTTCTCCATGAATTTTAAATGCGTTATCAGTGTATTTTAACCGTGCCCTGGTAGCTACATTGGTTTGTCGCTGCGATTCGAGCTATATCGTAGCAGCATTTTAGGTTCGAATACAGTGATTTTTCAATTTTGTTTTCTTTTTGTTTGAAAATTTTGATTTTGTAGAAAAAAATACTCCTTGAATAAAGTTGCAAAGTACTTTTTAAAAAATAAATTTACATTGTTTTATTTTTTAATGCGTTCACGTTTTTTCTTTTATATAGTGCTAGCGTTCCCAAATAGAAATAAACATACATGAATTTGTAACAACAAAGTTATACTTGATGAAAAAATATTGAATATATTAAAAGAAAATAAAAAAAAAAACTAGCAACCTCAATCGCTCTGTTACATACAATATTTTCAGTGCATTTGAAAAATGAGCAGAAATTTTTTTTTAGTGTTAGACTTCTATTATATTTTATTAAATATATCCAGCATAGATAATTTATCTTTCATGACAACTTTTCATTGAAAAAAAATTCACAAATAGATAAACATAAGACAGAAATCCATTTCCATGAAGTATCTACATGTAGGTTCATTGTATGACATATAAACAACATGGTGCTTGGACATTTAAATCTGAACTGTTTCGTGTCAATGATTCCTGCCGACTGCCTATCTAGTGTGTCCACTTTCTTTTGATCAGAAAAGCTCATTGAGCCTTCGGCTCAGGTCAGCTAAAAAGTCTAAAATCCACTTTAATAAGATTTAATCTGCTGAAAAAAAATCCTGAAAATATCACTTTTGGTTCTAATTCTATGGTCTGCTTTGTCTAGATTTATGTCTGAAATTACCCCCGACTCAGAATAAACAATCAATACTTACGGAGCACCTTATGATAGGAGTGCCTGCAGTGAGGCGAATAAGGTGGCTCAAGGAGGTGGCCCGTGTTGGGGTAAGCAATGACCTGGAACCGATGTTTATGTTCCGTTGGAACAAGTTTCATAAAATGTTCAACTACGGAGTAATTGAGACATCTATCGTCCTTTCCGGAAATGATCAGAAATGTCGCCTCACTCTCCCATCCCTACAGAATTACGTAGAAAATGTTTATCTGAGCATTTTACAGTAAAACTTGTTTAATACGAACAAGGATATTGAGAATTCACGGATAAGCAAAGTCTCCACAGCATGATACACGTACACCTATCAAATAGTTAAATTATCATACACAGTATAGAATGCAAACAAAAATCATCCCAATCTTAATACAAAGATCTCAAAGATTTTGCCATTCCTTATAATGTTTGATGTACATACATCTTCTGTGGTTTACACATTAATTATAAGAAAAAATTGTATTACATCATATATTTCTCAACTGGATGTGTTAGAGCTTAATCTAAAAAAGCCCATCTGCCGCTCAGTTTCATTTATTGTGTATTTTGATTTATTAACATTGCTACAGTCTAATAAAACATCAAAACATTATTTTCATTCTTTACACTTTAAAATTATCATAATGCAAAGAAAAAAAAAATAACGTCCAAGAACATTAACTTAAAGACAAAAACAACCTTCATAAAATTTATTTTTAATTTTGCTAAACAATAGGAAGGTAACATAAAAAGAATTTCTAAATACAGAAGCATTAATTATCACATTAAAAATAAATCTAAAGGGATAATATTATGTAAATTATTTTCTTAAGATTGTGAACTTAATATCTCTACCTTTCTTTCCCTCTATCCCTTCATATACAGTAAAACCTGATTATAGCGAACACAGTTGTAACAAACTAACTCTTATAACAAATCAGAATCACCTGTCTCAGGTAATTCGTTATAAGCGTGTTTTACAGTACTTTCAGTTGTTTATAGTTGTACTGTTGTTACATGTATACATGTAGTTTCTTTAAAATATACTTGCCTGTGGTATTAAGGACATGTACTTACTTTGATGAAGAATTCATCTGTAGGTTGATAACAATTTGCAACGTCTGCTCCTTCTGGCGTTACCCTCACTTGATCTAATCGAGATCTGCAAGGAAAAAAAAAACAAGTGAACAATGACATCATTCATCAGATTTCACAAAAATGATCATGCGTATCAGAAAATTCATTAAGGTCATATTAAAGATGGTTTCTTTGTATGAGTTGCTAACACAGGTGATTCAATGGGAAAAAACGTATATACAATTCACTGCTAGAGTACATGATATGCCTGTCAAAATGCAAGTTAGCTATGTATATGTATAAACAGCCATAAAGAACTGCGAACAGAAATATCGTTCTCCTGCCTACCTCCAAGTCAATTTTCAAAAGTAAAGATATTCGAATGATTTTTAATGTATGTGTAGGATTCCAAAGTGCGATGGGACTCCAAAGTCCGATGGTCTGCACCAAAACCTGAAGGTTTGACACGCCAAAGTCCAATGGTGCAGAAAACAATTAACGTTTATGACGTCATAGTTTTGCTGTGCAAAAGGTGCTGCGCCATGCTAAGGCCTGATTGTTTACAATAAACACAAATAAATATTAAATGCAAAGATTAACCCATATCTTTTGGATATAGGTGCGAGACTAAGCCTGTTCAGTCGAAAAATGCTTAATACTCAGTAACTATAACCTAAATATCTTGGGTGAGTGCTGGACTACTCCAAATCATGCTAACCCTAAATCTCTCGGGTGGGTTCGAACAAACACATTATCAATCCAATAGTGTTCACGGACTAAACCTTATCAGTCGAGTGGTGTGCGAGGACTAACCTTAATTAATGTCTCTAGTGGGTGAAAACAATAAGCGAAATCAGTAAAATTGTATACGAGATGAATACTCATTCAATGGATTTTGAATGCAGGACAATGGCATGACGTTGGACTATTGTGATGTCAGAAACATTGATTGTTCCTCCTCACCAAGGACTTAGGCATATCAGACCATCACACTTAAGCGCAATGTGTCTCATAGGAAACGAGCCATCGTAGTTTGGCGTGATCATCAGACTTTGGTGTCCGTAAAAACAGCGAGCAATCGGGGTTTGGCGCAGACCATCCGGGTTTGGCGAGACCATCGGACTTTGCGTCACTATCGGACTTTCGAGCCTTACATATATATTGGTATTTATATGGATTTTCATAATACACTTATTTGCAAAACCAACGAGAGATAACTCTAAAATGTTGGTAAAACTATAGAAATCAACGGAAAATATTTTTAAAACTTCTAACACCCCCCACCGCACCCTTGAAACAAAAATTCCTTTTTACGAGTAATTTGGACTCATTTCACAAATTCATATCAAAGTTTTTGTGTTTCACGAGGGGGAAAAATGTTAATAGACAAAAACAACAAAAATGATTGTAAAACGTAGACGGGAATCGAGAGTTAGAGTGTGTAGTTCTTTCAAATCAAGGTCAAGATGACCTTTTTTTTGGATTATGACACACCTCCAACTAAGGAACAATTTTTGATTTTCTCACGATGTGAAATACAGTGTATATTACCTGGACACAATAAATAAAATGACAGTTGAACAGAACGATAGATTGACAGATGGAAAACCCATGCCGTAATATGGCATAATGTCAAAAGAAATCATTTTGTCAAGGATATAACATTGTTCAGGATGCTATCATTACTGTTACGTTTTTTTGCAAATCAACACTGCTTTCCGAAATAAATCCTCCTTTTCCACTATAAAACATACAGTTCTGTTTTTTCTGTGATTTCTTTAAATGTTTAAAATTATTCTTCCAGTAGAGTTGAAATAGCGTTTACCTTTTTCTTACCATGAAGAAAGGGGAGTTTTTAAAGAAGATGGGGGATATCAAGAAATCATATTCAATATGTGAATTGAGTATTTAAATTAACTTCTCATTTTTGAAATTTTGAGAGAAAAAAAACTTTTCTGAGAGAAACAAAAATCTCGTATTTTTTTCTTTTATAAAAGCCCCGTGGGGATCCGGGTTAGAATAGGTCCTCAGTACCCCCTTGCTTGTCGTAAAAGGCGACTAAATGGGGCGGTCCTTCGGATGAGACCGTATAAACCGAGGCCCCGTGTCACAGCAGGTGTGGCACGATAAAGATCCCTCCCTGCTCAAAGGCCGTAAGTGCCGAGCATAGGCCTAAATTTGCAGCCCTTCACCGGCAATGGTGACGTCTCCATATCAGTGAAATATTCTGGAGAGGGACGTTAAAAAGTATACAATCAATCAATCAATCTTTTATAAAAATATTAGATGGTATTCGTGGGATTCGAACCCTAGCAATAAAATCCAAAGTGTCATAGTCTATAACAGCTTTGAGACCAACGCTCTAACCACTGTGCTACATGGCTCATGAAGACTTCGGGCATTTAAATCATGTTTGTGATACAGTGTATGACCCTTGGCTTAAAGCTGACATGAATTCTTAAATACGCAACATTTTCATCTATGTACGACTTGTTTCATACCAACTATAGCTGTATTTCGCCATATTTCTTTCAGATACCTTGTCTCATTGTAACGATGTATACCCCAATGCGCTCGTTACACTTGAATGATTTTTTGGATTGGGTATCGACTTGTGCACATCTCCGATGGTAAAGCATATGAGAACACATGAGGTGATCAAGACATTTCAAAAACAAAATAAACAACATAATAATCATATTTTTTGAATGAATATTGATTTGAATCAAAAGAAAAAAATGCAAGTTTGGAAGAGAAATTTAGATGCATGAGTACGTATTTTTACAGTGCGCCAATTTATGCAGAATAAACTTGAAATGAAAAGCAGTAAAATTTGCAAACACATTTTGAAATTGTATCATTTGAATGGAACAAAACAACCAACGTCTGTGATTTGCAGGTCCTATGCAATTGATTTGATGCATATCGAGAAAACGCCTCGAACGCTGTAAACGTACCCATACCTGGTAATAAGGTTACTGCATCGGTTCGAAGATGTGCACAAGTCAAGTGAAATACACCCTGAATTCCATTTATTGAAATATGCATCACAAAAAAGAAATAAACTCCATAAAAGCTCAATAGTAAACACACTGTCATTACTCCGTACACACTAGCACGACGATACACTTAGTCCGTGCTGATCAGATTTTGGTCAGGAAAAATATCAAAAGTGGAAAGAGAAGTTATTTGGTATTTGCGCGGCTGAAAGGGGGGGGGGGTATTATAACTGATGTTCATAAGCTATAATTGTGAATTGTTTATCTACATGTAGTTCTAATATACATTCTAGACAAAGTCCTGTATATAGTCTGCAGTTGGTTTGCGTCGCAAAATTCATTTGTCAATTATAACTGATTATTTTAGTACTAATCTCAAATCTAAACAAAGTAATTTGATATACGGCTATAATTTACTTCAAATCTTAAAAGCAATTAACCAGAATACAAATTTTTATGTGTACATCTATACATTCTTTAACACATACACACACGGAGAATGGCCATCCCCTGTTCAGATTGACATTTAGGCATTTGATTTTTTTAGGCGAGGAGGGGGGAAGAAATAATTGACATGACCGTTATTAAAATATTCATGGAAGACAGACATTTCAGGAATTCAATTTTGAAATTTTTTTTTGGAATGTGTCACTCCAACCTCAAAGTATGTGCATTTTGAGGAATGCAACTGTTTTATAATTATGTTGTTACAGGAAGTATTTATTTCGAGATTTCAGTATCCCTGCCTGATAGTCTAGGTATTTTTTTTATATATATAAATAATTTCTGTAGGTGAATTTGGGAGATAATTTAAAAAGCTAGGGTAGGGATACTTGACACTGGTTGAATACGGATAATTATTATTTATTCTTTTGTATATTGAACTCTCTCTCTCTCTCTCTCTCTCTCTCTCTCTCTCTCTCTCTCTCTCTCTCTGTAACCACCAGTTGGGGCAATGATAGGTATAAAATCCTACGCACTTTGTGCTGTACCATTTATTATGCCTTAGGACAGATCAAGGATTTTTTTCAGGCGGGATGTCGAAACTTCATAAATTGAATAATAATTTTACTTTGGACAGGAAATTAACCCAAACGCCCATATTGAAAGAGAAACTAGACGTACATGTATTATGAGCAATGAACTCACTAAATGATACCCCCTGCCTCCCATATGGTTATAATGACAAAGTCCATATTTCGCTAAACCCATACGTGTCAGATCAAAAAGTAAAATAGGAGGTGCATAATGGTAATCTGTAATAAACTTAAGATTCTTTGAAAGTTTCATTAAATTTCTCTAAGTGGTGTAAGAGGATTTGCGGATAAGAGATGGGTACCCCAAAGCGTAACAGACAGACGAACGGACATAACGATTACCTCCCACTTTTCAGGCGGGGGATATAATAAACGTGAAATATAAATCACAGGAATGGGAACATTGGGAACTTTCTCGAATACCCTCTCAAACGTATGTGTCGAACTTGGACACAGACAAGAGATTTTTTAAAAAACTAGTTTTAGGTAGAATGTGGAATTCTCACGATGAGTTTACTCTCTCTTCCTATATGCTTTTTCTAATAATCATTACTTATTTATGTCTAGAAATTTAATTCACATTAAATTCTATTTTCATTATCATTGTACCAAAGAATCAAACTCGTTTATTTTACCCCAGCGTGAGGTATAATGTTTTTGACCCGTCAGTCAGTCTTTTTTTTTTTTTTTTTTTTTGGTCAGCGCAACTTCTCATAAACCACTGTACAGAGTTTTGTCGAACTTTGCAGATATTTATAGGAGACAATGTGTGTGTAGATTTGCACATCACCAGGAAATTCTGAATTCTTTATTTTTCGGGAATTTCCGCACTTTTACATTTAGATTTTGGCCATATCTTGAATATAGAGGTGAAAAGTTTGTCAGCGCAACTCCTCATAAACCGCTGCACACAATTTCGTCAAACTTTGCAGATATTTAGGACACAATGTGTATAGATGTGCATATTACAAGGAAATTACGATTCCTTTATTTTTTTCTGGTAACTTCAGCACTACTTCGACTTTTGGCGAGGGGTATGTGAACGTGCTCACTTTTTCTTTCATAGTGCATAAAATTATAAATAACTTTAAATCAAATTATATTAGGTCTAATAAAGCCAATACACAATATTCATTTGATAATAATTGATCATAAAGAAATCCAATCTGTTTCAGACGTTTTTCTTTTATCATTTTTATGAGAGTGTTATGCATGTTTTATTACACCCCCCCCCCCCCCCCCGCCCTCATATCACGGGAAAATATCTTCAAAAGGTGAAAGATTCGTAATAATGCCTGCTTTTTTTAAATGAATTTGATGAAGTTAAACCATGTACTTAATCGTAAATTTTATTTACAACATGTACAGACAAGAGTAATGTTTATTTTTGAAAAAATTACTTGCATTTTTTTTTCATTCAACCCCACCGAGCTTTCAACCTTTGATATTTTCCCTGACCAAATAAAATGATCGGCATGGGCCACGTGTGTCCAAGCATCTTTTACTGTTGAGTTAGCAATGGATTACATGACTTCTGAGATGCATTTTTCAATAAAAGTAAAATAGGATAATTCTTTCGACATGTGCACATCCCTGTAACGATAGCAGTAGTCAGGTAAATGTTTTTATCACTGCGTTTGACGCGTTTTCTCGGCCTGCATGGGTGTTTGATGTACATGTATGTATTCCGTGTTAGTTTATTTTCTATATTGCAGCAAATGCATTCAAAAATAATTTCATTCTCGGTATAGTTCTATTTTTTGTTGAATTTTTACTTTTCAAACATGTATTTGGTCAGTTTTTTGACTTCTAAAACCTTTGTTATCGGAGATGTGTACATGTCGACAGTCAGGCTAGAAAATCACTCAAGTGAAGCAATCGTACAAGGCTATATATAGCAGGTACAGGTGACCAAAAATTTTCAATTAAATATGGCGGAATCGAAGAAATATGGCGGACAAAGGCGTACAGGAATGTAGTAAGTCGTACAAAGATGAAAAATGATGGCTTTTTTAAGAGTTCATGTCAGCTTTAATGGAGTTCAAGTATTTCTCAGAAAGATGCGATTGTTTTGTCATAAAAGTGTACTTTTAAGGTAAAGTGTTTCGCTCCATGTTTTTTGTAAATCAAAAATGTATATTTTATTGAAAACTTTGGATTATCTTACAAAAAAATGGAGCGAAGACCCACTCATTTTGAAAAATAATGTCAAAGTACGAGAAAATGATCGTTTTTGTTCTTTTTAGTGTGTGTATGCTTTTTCATTGAAAAATATTTTCAGTTTATGTAAAAAATTTGTAAATTGTAGAGATTTTACATTATATACTTTAATATAAGATGAAATATCTATGGAACGCCGTCACTGCCTTATAGCAGAACACAACAATTGCACTGCGTCAACCTTCAATTACATTATGTCAACTCCATATGACAGTTACTCACACAACTATTACATTGTGTTAACCTTCTATTACATTATGTCAACTCTACATGATATTAACTCATACTACTATAGCATTGTGTGAACTTTCCTTTACATTATGTCAACTCTTTATGACATTTGCTCACACTACTATTGCATTGTGTGAACTTTCCTATACATAATGTCAACTCCATATGACAGTTACTCACACTACTATTACATTGTGTCAACCTTCGGTTTCATTATGTCAACTCTTTATGACATTTACTCCCACTATTATTTTATTGTGTCAACCTTCCATTACATTATGTCAACTCTTTATGACATTTACTCACACTACTATTGCGTTGTGTCAACCTTCCATTATATTATGTCAACTCTTTATGACATTAACCCACTCTACTACTGCATTGTGTCAACCTTCCATTATATTGTGTCGATTCTTTATGATATTATCCCACACTACTATTGCATCGTGTAAACCTTCCTTTACATTATGTCAACACTTTATGACATTTACACATTTTTGCATTTCGTTATGTTTACTGTTCATGACATATAATTAAACAACAATTACATTGTGTTAACCTATCATTACATTATGTCAATTCTTTATGATATTAACTCACACTACTACATTATGTCGATTCACTATTACGTTATGCGAACACGGGTATCCTCGGCCTTTATATGAGCATACCGTATTTTCCGCAATCGGCAATCCTCGGCTGACTCCGCTACGCTCCATTCAAACGTTATGTGCGAGGTACGAGTCATCCGAGGAATTCCGATTGTATTTTCCGCGTTCCGAGAGCACTCAAATTGGCGGGAGAGAAAATTGCCGTAGAAGAAATCTCAGCGATTTGGGAATGGCATCTTTAAATAAAAATTTTAAGCGACAAAGGATTGACAATCTTGAAACGTGCAAAGCCTTAACACTGCGACTGTGAATTAAAGTCACGTCGAAATTCAATGGCGTTTACTTTAATCTGATAATTAAATAAATTAAATATTATGAGTCTTGCAGCAATTTTTTTTCTTTTTATTTTGAATTGTTGTTTGTTTATTTGTTTTTGTTTTTTTTTTTTTGGATAAAAGTCTTAAACTTCTGATCTTACTAAGAACATTGTCATAATTTTTTTTTATCAGTCTTGAACTTTCCTTTTTTTTTTTTAAAGTGTAAACACATCGTATAACACACGTGCACTGGTGGGTTGGGGGAGGGGGAAATCCCGCCCTACTATCTTTAGTGACCAAAATCTACATGTACAAAAAATTAATAAATTTATTGGTTTTACTTTGTAGGACATTGCATTAGTTTCACATTAAGTTAAGCTGAATTAAGTTGAAAACTTTTTTTTATAAAACTATAAAGCCTGAGAGCTTCTCTGCTTTCCCCCTTGGTCTCCAACCATAAACCGTCCCCCTTCAGGCTTGGACAATGTTTTTTGGTTCAAGATTCTCATATCCGCTACTGATATGTGTTCATGCATGCTTACTAAGGCATATTCAATTGATTTAGATGAGGGATTGGTAGATTTTTTGTAATAGAATTCTGGCCCTGGAATAGTTGAAAAAATTACTAATTCCAGTGCGTGACGTATCATCTTTTTCGAAAGGAGGGGGGGGGGGGTTAGCCAGAAAAAAAATATTCGCCCCAAAAAAAAAAACTTGAGAAGCCAAAAAAAAAAAAAATGTCTACTCCAAGCCCGAAAATCCTATTTCGGGGAGGGGGGTCCAACTTCGATCAGTCCTAATTTTTTTGTCAGATATACTACATTACCCTCAGTGGACTATACTTCAACAAAAAGTGGGGGTGGGGGCTGTACTTTCAATGAACATTACATTTTCTATTGTAAAGTTATGTTTGGGAAAAGAGGGGGGTTGATATTTTGTGCCTCTAATTCTTCCGTATCAATCAGGACCCCCCCCCCCCCCCCCTCTTACCAGTCATAAAAACACGGTCGTCAACATTCATTTTATACCAGATATACAGCTTTGAGATAATGTAAATATGTTTTTACATCAGATAATGCACTTTTGGAATCAACATGATAAAGAGTTCACACAATATAAAGATATTGTAAGATCACATAAGAAAGAGTTGACATAACGTAATTATATATCCACATCACGGAATTGAGTTTTGACATAATGTGATAAAGTGTTGATATAATATAAAGATATGTTCACATAATACCATACACTTTTTACACCACGTAATAAAGCACTGACATAAAGGTAAGATGTGTTCACCTCGCATCATGATGCTCTCGCCGTAAAATAAAGATAAACCCATATCAAGTAATAATGCTTTGATATAATAAAAATATACACTCTCGAAAAGGAATGGATTTTTGACTTCATGTAATGATAAGTTTAATTATAAAACACAATTCACTTGACGTAATGCAATTTTGACCTCTCATATTAAAGAAATGAAATTATGTAAAGAAACATTCATTTCACGTAATAAAGTTTTAACACAATGTGAACACATTATCGCTTCACATAATGAATTTTGGACTTCAAGTTATGAAGTGCTGACATAATGAAAGGATGTATTTACTTCATGTAATGCAGCATTGACATGATGTAAAGATATTTTTACATAATCTCATAAAAAATTGACATAACGTAAAGATATGTTCACATCACGTAATGATAAATTGACATAATAAATGCATAGTTGTATGCTATAAGGCAGTGTTGGCGTTCCATAAATATCAAATAAAATTTTGATATAATTTAGATTAATTTTTTCACTTCTTACCTGTCGCCCTATAGGCACTTTGTCCGCCTTATCCCCCCATCTTCTTTGAAAGTGTGGTATAAATTGTTGTATGTTACTCGCTTCTCTAAAAAGAAATGTCTTTGACTTACCTATAGTTTTTTATGTCTCCTTTGCTGAACTTCAGAGGAGCATCAGAATAAAATGTTACTCCATTCACTAGAACTACAGCTTTGATCTGAGGAAAACAACAACCAAAATTGATTTTAAAAATGATTACATACAGATATGGTGTGCGTATATAAATAATGGCAATGTACCCAAATTTATGACTGTATTCTGTTGTAATTAAAGTCATGGTGTAACAAAGAACTACGAACTCTAACTCTTGATTTCCGCCTACGTTTGGCACCAATTAAATTCAATATTAATCAAATGGCAATTTGGCCATAAAATCTTTGTTTGATACACAGAACAGTTCAATGGTAATTGATTAATCATTTGAATTCCAGTGCTAGATAGTAAATTATCATTCATTCCAGCTCTTAATTTATTTATTGAGGTGTTTTAAAAATATTTTCAGTTTTCCCTTGATACCAAAATTATAGAGTTATCCCATTTTGTTGTAACAGTCCCAAATAAGTACGTTTTAAAAAAGTCCACATAAATATCTATAAAAATGTTGAAAATCATTCAAATATGTTAACTTTTGAAAATTGACTTGGAGGTAGGCGGGAGAACATACTATCGTTCGCAGTACTTTATCCAACTGAAAACCTTCACAAGATTTCTTTTTAGGTAATTAACATTGGAAATAGATATAATTCATAATATCACATATAGAATTACATCTTCACAGATATGAAATTTTTTTTTTTACAAATGAACTCTTTGCTTGCATGCTGACATAAGTTTGCTCTTAATTACGAGGGGTTATCAAAAAGTTCGTGGACTGAGGCTATAGAATTAGCACTATGCTTGCAAAATTTATAAGGAACATAAAACGAGAATAAATAAAAAAAATGTTGAAAAATTTAGCTTGATACATTCATTATTTCGCAAATTATTATAAAATAAAAACAACATTATATGATTACCCGGTGCCGTCGTCGTTTAGTTTCAAGCCGTCCGACAACGTCATTATTTTTCAATATCCGCTTCTTCTTCCTCGTACACTTATTTTAATGAGATTCCCTAGAACTGAGTAAGGACTTCAACCCGTCTTGTTTTTATGACTTTACAATGTCATGGACAGCAGCTTTCAATGCATATATTATTGCAAATGGATTTATACATTGGGAGAGATCCTTGCTTGATTGTGCCAGCATATTTATTTTTTGGAGTTCAATAAAGCTAAAACACATGATCAACGTCATTATTTGACGTGATAGATTTTTTCAAACCTTGACTACAAATCGACATTAATTTGCTTTCCTTTTCTCTCTGAATTTATTTAAGCATTAAAAAACAAAAAATCTGGATGCACATTGATTCTCCGTAGTCAGTTTAAACATTTCCTAGGTGTATACCAGTTTTTTCAGGGGCAAAACTTCATAGAAAGTTGGAAAATAAAATCCCTCCCCCTTTTGACGTCATTTTCAAGGCAATATTTGTTTGGAGACTCCATGTGAAATTTACAATAAAATTTCATAGAACTTCCAGAATGAGGTAAAAATTCCATATTTTATGGATCAATGGTGCCCCAACACGAACCTGAATTAACGGAATTTGTTCATATCAAAATAGTTTATCTTAGTTGCACTTAGGTCGGAAAAACATCGTTTTCGAGGTTGCGCCGCCGGAACACACCATTGCTCACGAAAACTTTATTAATTTACTAAAAAATAAAATTAATTTTTATGATTTGTGGTTTACTCTACAGATAGAAAAAAATGATGATAACTAAATATTTTAAAATTCATTGATGTACCTAAAGCGGTTTTAATTCTAGGGCGCTAGTCCACGAACTTTTTGATAGCCCCTCGTAGAATAGAATCTCAGGGCCACTGAGAAGAGAAGGTTGTTTTTTTTTTGTACCAGCATGCGCATCTACTGCGATAATGAACCTCAGTTTAAACAGTAAACACTGATTCAATGACAACGAGGTAAACAGTCAAACGGTTTGTTTCACCAAGTAGTCATTGAATAAGTGTTTTATTACCTAACGTACTATATAATTAATCAAATTGGAATAAAAACACATAAACAAACAATAAAGAGTTTTAACAAATGTTTATTCTCATACTTGTAATTAGCTGAACACATAATATAAAGATTAAATTAATATTTAATAATTTAAGGTAATACTTAATAAGTTGATTGATTGATTGTTTGTGTGTTTTATTTCAATTTTATTAATTATATAGCAGGTAAATAGTGATGTCGTGATCATCAAAACGCTTGAATATCACGATGACGCTTAAACAGGCAACAGTTCATTCTGTGACCCCGTCAACAGTTAGACTGTTTCATGATCACGCAAAAACATAAAATAAACTGTGAAACAGTTCAAAATGCCTATTAATTACATTTTATATAGTAGGTTAGGTAATAATTTCATCTGAGGGGCTCCTGTAGTATCCACTACTAACAGTGGAATTCAAACACACAACAACATAAGGATCAACTCCTTACTCCATGACTTAAGGTTTCGTCAAAGATTAACATGTCTAAAAAATTATTTTTACAATAGCTCCAAAACTATGTGTGGTATAAAGTCAAAACGTTTACAGTTTATAAATATATCAATGATTAATAGAAAGTATCACTTGATAACAAATATTTTAAAAAAGATATTTTTTAGAAAAATTGTATCAGAAAATATGTGCATATTTAAAGAAAAATGCACCTGCTTAATTCTGTCCTTTTTGTGAAAACCATCATTGCAGAAATAATATATGTTTATCATAGAAGGGCAAGTTGGACGTGAAAGGTCTTTGAAAGGCTGTTATCAAAAGCATGACATGTATCAAGACAAGACCCCTATAGAATCTGCCACTTTCACTTTCAAGTCTTGACATTTGGACAAATTAAACAGGGAAAACAACTTTCCAGAGGCTATCCAAGTCCAACTTGCCCTTCATTGATAAACATATTTTGTTTCTGCAATGGTGGTTTTCACTATGAGCACGGAATTAATGAGGTGTACTTTTTGAAAATATATGCATTTTTAGAAGAATTTTTCTCAATAAACATTTTTTCCAAGTATTTTTTATATCAAGTGATACTTTCTAATCAATGAAAATTTTATAAACTCTAAAAGTTTTAACTTTATACCTCACATAGTTTTGGGGCTATGGTAAAAATAAATTTTTGGACATGTTGACCTTTGACGAAACCTTAAGAGCGAACGCTATTACCACTGTGTCAGGCAGGTGACTTCTCTTTTTTGAAGAGGAATAAAAAGAAAACACGAATGTAGACATATTTAAATCTACCAACAAATTACTAACCTGTGGAACATGTCTACAGAGCTCCATGGCATACATGCCTCCCTTAGAAATTCCGATTATACCTATCCCATCATGCCTAACTCCTGGTATCCCAGCAAACCACTCCACACATTCCTTTAAGATAGGAAATTTGAAAAAAAAAACTGACTGACATGTATATGCATGTATGTACATGTATACATTCAGAAAAAAACAATATATAGGTTAAAATTTGGGGTTTTTTTTTATCAGAAATGGAACTCAACTTCAATAAAACTAATAACTTCAACAAAATAAATATGGTCAAACATCAATATCTCAAACTTCAATATCAGTACATCACGATATATTGGAAGCCCCTACCATTTTAACAGGTATCTCTAAAGTTTTCTTAGCCCAATTAAATTAAAAATAGTAAAGTTTGACTGTATATGTTTCCTTTATCATTATATAAATTGTTCATATGTAGAGCAGGCTCTTGTGTATCGAATTAAATGAGATATATAAACTCCGTATGCAGGTGATGAAGACATATTGCTGCATAAGTAAGGGAAGCTGACGATGGAAAGATGAAAGTCATCACGTTTATCATAGAGCTTGGTTGTTAGATTACCATTAACGTCCTTTTCAAGTAAAATATCCAAATATGAAACAGATGTGTCAGACTCTGTGGTATCTTTTATCTCAAGCTCACCAGGATGTATCGTATCGACATAAGAATGGAAATTACCATTGTTAATTGACAATACATCGTCGATATATCCAAGTGTCGATTTGAAGGCCACGGCAAGTGTTTTCTTCTTTTCAAGGATAAGATTTTGCACAGACTCTGCTTCATATGAATGCAAAAATAGGTCTGCTAATAACAAATGGTACGCATGGGAATTCCGATAGATTGTTGGAATACCTGGTCTCCAAAAACAACATAGATATTGTCAATCAGTCTCAAATTGAAGCATCTTTTTGATGTCGACTTCAGAGTACGTGTGTGTACAATCCGAATGTTTTTTAACAAAATAGTTTTGCAAATGACCGATGACAAGGTAAGTTAATTTACGATTTCCATTTTTATTGAAAAAGCAGCTGTCAATGATTTCCAAACGTCTGGACTTTAATTTATCGTAATGAATGGTTGTGTATAAAGTTGAAAAGTCGTAAGTTTTTAAGCTACTGATTTTGGTAAAATCTTTCAAATTGTCTAAAAGTTCCTTGGAATTTTTAAGTATCGACATCTTAAAGTGGTGTCTTTGGGCGACACTACTAAGAATGAACAAGATCCTCTCCTCCGGGAACTTGTTCTTCTTGTTTTCAAGAACAAACGCATTTAACAACAAGAAAAATCATGAGAACAAAGCAATATGGCGTCTTATTTAAGAAAATGTATTTTTGGAAGAACTTTTTCATTGAAAACCAATTTCAGACTAGTTTAATGATCCTGTGCCAATATTTTCGGCCGTATAAGCAGCCCAAAATGACCATAGACCAAAAGTTAAAGGTTTTGTTGAGAATGTAAAATATAAGGTCGGGAAAAGAGTTAAGAAGACACTTTAAATTTAGTAAAACTATGTACTTTCATGTTTTTTAAATGAACGAAGGGTCCCAAATAATTTTCTAAAAAAGTAAACTTTTAAAATCCCTTCCTTTATCAATTTTATGCATTTAAACTATCAATTTTGATACACAAGTCATTACGTTTAAATTTTTATTGAATAAAATTGTATCTCTTCGAAAAATCATCATCATGAACACTCAGAAAACAATTTACCAATTTTATTGTGTTAATTCTCGATCCCTTGAACTTTAACTTTGATTGAATTATTATTACCCGCTACTTTTAAGGTTCATCGATACCCTGATAAGAGAGATAACGCTTAATGACATAAATGTCTATTATTCCTTTACAGATTTCCAAGTTGAAGTGTCTTTTGTTCAAATTTTGGCCCGCAAGCTATGCTATAATTGTTTCTATTTTACTTATAAAATATATTTCTTTTGAAATATTATTAAGCTAAAAGCAACATTTGCTTGAGCAGAGGGTTTATGAACCTTAATCTCGAGTATGTTTTTATCACCCCTTGTCCATTGTCTGTCTGTAAAATTTTCACATTTTTAGATTCTTTTCAAAATTTACAAAGTCAAATTTAACCAGTTGGTACAAAACATCCTTGGGTTAAGAGGAGTTAAAATTGTTAAAAGAAAGGTACAAACCCCTTTTCAAGAGTAATAATCAAGAAAAGACAAATAAAGTGTGGGGTCATTAAAAATCTTCTCAAGAACCACTGGGACAGAAAAGTTGACTTGCACCTTGTGTGAATGCATCCTGGAATAAAGTTTAATTGTTCAAATCTTTACCCCTGGGGTAGGGTGGGCCACAATAGTTACAGTAGGGGGACATTCTTGTAAATAATGACAGGACCAAATTTAATTCAGGTGAGCGATGTAGGCTTGTAGCCCCTGGGTCTCTTGTTTAAATTTAATACAAAATAGGCGATAATTTAATTATTTCTAGTCATTAAATACCATTGACAAAGAAGAAATATTATCGATAAAAAATTATATTTTAATAAATAACTATATATTCATAATTTGTTACATGTAGTTACACAAATTTCTTCCAAAATTCCTCTAATTCCAATCACTGCACTTAAATGCAACATTTTTGTTCTCCAAGTTCCTGCAACTGAGGTGGTGCAAAATTTATTTTCCAGGAACAAGTTCTTCTGCATTGTTTTTGTTATTTGAGAGAAAAATGTTTTGTTCTTGTTTCGAGAACAAAGGGGAACATACAGCGTCGTTCCAAAAGTATTCGCGGAAAATGACGCCAATTGAGAGTTATCTCGCTTAGCATAATAAACTTGCCGTTTTCAACATAATAAGAAAATGCACATACCTTTAGTACTTTGTGAGGTGTCCTTTGGACCGAATGCAAGCAAAAATTCTTCATGGTAGGGACTGATAAAGGTTTTTAATGTAGTCTACAGAGAGATTCTGCGCAGTATCGAGAATAGCTTCAAACAGCTGATCTGGGTTAAATATTTCACCGGCCCGATTTTGTAAACTCCTCTTCACCCGATGCCAACAATTTTCGATAATATTGATGTCTGGTGATTGGGCTGGCCAAATCATTCCACGGATGTTGTTTTCATGTTTAAATCTCTCTACGATACGGGCTCGATGCAAGGGGGCATTGTCATCCTGGAATATGTAGGAATTGTCAGGAAAATGTCGGGCAATTACGGGCCACAGTTGTTCATCTAATTTTGAAATGTATTTCTCAGCATTTATATTGCCGTTTACCTTACACAGAGTTCCAGGGTCATTCCAGGTAATACACCCCCAGATCATAACAGAAACTTTTGGGTTTACATTCTGCAAACATGCATTCCGGTCTATAGGCTTCATGAGCAGATCGCCACACGTAGACTCTATTATTTTGGCCAAGTACGATTTGGGACTCGTCACTGAATATAATTTTTTTCCAGTATTCGTCTACAATTAATCTCCGTTTTTGTAGGCACCATGTAAGTATCTTTTTTCGTTTGACCTCTTTCACTACCATACGTTTCCTAACAACTCTGAGATAAATCTGATTTTTGTGCAAAATCCGTTGTACAGGCCTCTTACTAACTTGATTTGAAAAATTTCCAGCATTAAATTCGGAAGTTACATCTTTCAGTACCTTTCCTCTGCTTCGCTTCACCAACCGAAGTAACCTGGCTTCACCACGACAGGATAGATTTTTAGGAGTTTTTTTTTTTTAGTTTTTCAGTTCTCTTAGCCTTCAACAGGCTACATGTACCCCGTACATGAAAAGTCCTGACAACAGACCTGCATGTAGATTCGGGCACTTTCAACATCCTTGCAATCTCACTAATCTTTAATCCATCTTTTTTTTAATGTTACAATCACTTCTTTCTTGTCCGGTGACAATTCTTTAGACTTTCGACCCATCTTTGTTTACACTCAAATATGACAAAACAATTTACTCTAGCAGACGATTTTTTATACGTCATACATCCGGAAATTTATTCTGGTTTCGGGGATCGTCTCAAAACTAAATTTCATTCAGTATTAACATCATAACATTCATTTTTCTGTACGAAGGGCAATTACTCTTTGAACGCGACCGCCATTTTCCACGAATACTTATGACACGACGCTGTAGTTCTTGCTCTCGGCCAAAGACACCCAAAGCCCTATTTCTTTCAATGTTCACCTTCGATTCTCTGTTGTGGCCCCATCCTACCCCTGGGGTTCATGATTTTAACAATTTAAAATCTACACATGTTGCACAGTACTCTTGAAGTTTCTCCTTCACTACTTTTATATCTTAGTGAGAAGTAAAGAAAGAGGCTTGGTTGAACATAGCTGCATAACTGTAGCTCTCCGGAAAAATAATTATTGACAGACCGTAGAGCTACAGAGCCACACCTTGAAAAAACTGGATATTTATTGCACACACAAAAGTGTTCTGTTTCTCGATTTATTTTCACCATGTTTTTAAGACTGTCATCTCAAAATATTACTAACCGTGTGTTACTAACATATTCTTTCACTGTTTCCACAACAAAATATGCCTTATAATTGTTTATAGCCCTCCTGGCCCTGGAATTGAGATCATAAAAAAATTCGCCTATTTATACTGCCATTTGGTTTTGTAAGATAATTCGGTCCAAAACGCTCATACAGATGTAATCTGCAAGAGTACTTGATAGAGGAGTAAGGAATTCTTTCAAATCTAGCTTTTTTTTGCAATTGAAGTAAGAATTTGGAAGAATTAATTAACCTTGAACCAAGCGCAACTTTTTTTGTGCACAATAAATATACAGTATTTTCAATGGGTGGCACTCTAGCTCTCCAGTCTGTCAATATAATATTTTTCGGAGAGCTACAGTTCTGCAGCTATAAACAGGATTACCACTTGAAGAATTAAATCCAAGTTCTTCTGTAAAACAATTTATATCCTGTGAATTACAAACAAACACAATGTTGTTGTACTTTGTCAGCAGGGACCAGTACATACTGATCATGTACCCCTTTTTATCTATTTAGTTCTTTTTTCATTTCTGGATTATTGAATACAGAAGGATAGATGGTTTCCATATTACCTTCAATCTTTTAATACGCGATTATATCATGGATCTGATACATTTAATAAATTTAACATGTTTAAACAAGGAATAAATTTCTCAGACAGACTTACAAAATTATGCAAAAATAAATTTCTCATGAATAAAAAATAATTTACAGTAGTCCAGTGAATGGTTATAATAAGAAAATGCAATGAATTCTTACTATGAGATAATCCAGTGACACATCTGGCAAAAATTTTGGCAAATCTTCATAGGCAAAAAAAGGCAGAGCAAACACACAGTAACCGTGGGAGGCTAACAACGCTGCTCTGTGCTCAAAAAGTCCCCCTTCAGTACCAAACATGTCAATCACCCCCCAAAATGGCCCTGGTCCTGGAAAGGAAAATTCGCCCTCTTTTAACCCTTATATGTGTACTTAGTAATCCAAAATTAACTTCACTGACATCTTGCAAATACTGAAAATCAGATTGCACCTACTTGTACATTTAAAAAAAATCAAAATGGTTTATTGTGATAGTGAAAGTACCTAAGTAATGACATAAAAGTTTATATACAAAGAAAGAATGCTTTGTAGTGAAACTTACCAGGGGGGATAAACAGAACTCCCCTGATGTTTCCCTTGCTAACCCTCTCTCTTCTAACATTCCTGTCTTTGTACCATCTATATACATCTAATGTAGCTAGAGGCTTCGGGGGTGGATCAAACAAGGATTCCCAGGAGTGGTGACCTTCAATCACTGATAATGTCACAATAATGGGAGAAGTCACATCCTTTTTTAGAAATCGAATATTCTGTCGGGAAGAGGGTTCAGGTTTCATACTCCAAAATAAACCCATGGGCTCCAAACCTGTAATTTATGTAACAAATTTGGAAGAACGGTACTGTTTTGAATTTTATTTCCTTTATAACATAATGTCCCCATGCAGAGCTTACCTCTGGAACATTTTACTTACACAATAAAATAGGCCAGTGTGACAAATGACACTATGTAGAAGAGTTTCATATGAAATTCAAATTAAAACTTTTTATACGAAATTTGCATAGAAATCTTCACACAAATCTTAACTAAATGCTCTTGATATGTGAAATTTCATTAAAAAAATTTTTCACATGAAATTTACATTGAAACTTTTACACAAGTCTTGCTAAATTCTCTTGATATGTAAAATTTGATGACTTTTTAAATTATTTGATATTGCATAAACAATGTCTAATTAGATGTAGATAGATAAGTGTGATCATGAGCACAGACCTGTATATGTCCCCTGTACAGAAGCTTGATCCTCCACTGTCAGGTGACCCTGTTCTGTTGCTGTATAACACCCATACGATGCAAATCTATTGTTACCCTCTTGTAGAGAGGCCTTGATTGTAATGGGTCCATTCTTAGGTAAACCATCCACCTTGATGTGGACGCGTTCATCCACTAATGCCTCACACGGAGTTACTGATATTTTGACATCATTCATCAGGAGAGTTGATGTGGAAAAGCAACTAATTCTCTGCACTGTTGTCACACTGAAATATTCAGAAAACAAAACCATCAAATACTGACAAAAAGGTACATAATTAATAGCTGCTTTATTGCCTTGGACATGATAATGCATGCAACACAGTGATTAAGCAGGGCAGTAAGATTATATCATTTTAAGATAAAATGCTCATCTATAATCAGGGACGTGCATGTCCATGTATTAACTATAATCCAAGATTCACAACTTACTATTCAAGATTTCTCTATCTCATGAATGCACATTATTATTTACTTATTTTCAAGTCTAACAGTCGCCCGCGTGGCGCAGTGGTTAGAGCGTCTGCTCTAGAGTCGCGAAATAAGGAGTCAATCCTTACGTCGCGGGTTCGAATCCCACTGCGGGACGTGGAGACCGGTCCTTCGGATGAGACCGTATAAACCGAGGCCCCGTGTTGCAGTAGGTGCTCGCACGAAAAAGATCACTCACTGCTCAAAGGCCCTGAGTGCCGAGCATAGGACAAAATTTGTAGCCTCCACCGGCAAGTGGTGGCATCTCCATATGAGTGAAAAATTCTCGAGAGGGACGTTAAACAACATACAATCAATCAATCAAGTCTAACAATGTGTATTTCAAATAATTTTTTAATTATCAATATCATACCATCACTGATAACAAATAATTATTCATAACAACTTAAATGAATTGTATTTTTCAGACTGTTTATTATTAAGTTTATAAATTATCATATCATTGTTATACAATGAAAAAGGAATAAATTTTTCGTAAATCATTCACAAGTGCATTTACTCTTCTTAAGCAGAGGAGGAGGTTGAACAGAACTGAAGCATTTTTGTGTCACTCACTCTCTTGTTCAAAAATACTTTGTGTTTACTCTAACAATCTATCCATGCCAAAGACATAATTATATAACATATTTATATCTGCCCACGTGTATGGTTTGATAAAAAGAAATGGTCTGATATTAGGGCAAATGATTTTCAATAGTTGAGAAGAAGTTATCAGCTATTGGCTGCAGAACTGTAGCTCTCCGGAAAAATATATTGACAGACCGAACAGCTACAGTGCCACCCATTGTAAAAACTGTATATTTATTGCATACAAAAAAGTGCGCTGTTTCTCAATTTATTTCTCTATGCTTTTAAAATGTCATCTCAAAATATTACTAACCGTGTGTTCCTAACATTTTTTTTCACTGTTTCAACAACAAAACATTCCTTATCATTATTATTGTTAATAGCCCTCCTGGCCCTGAAATTGAGATCGTCGAAAATTTCGTCTTTTTACACTGCCATTTTAGTTTGCAAGATAATTCTGTTTAACGAACTTAGTGCAGATGTCAACTACGGGAGTACTAAATATAAAGTAGTAAGAAATTTTTTTTTTAAATCTATTTTTTTCGTGATTGAGGTAAGAATAGTTGAATCCACACTTTTCAAAAGTTATGTCCCTTGGCTGCCATCTTAGGGGATAAACCCATAGAATCCTCAATCCTCACAGTACCCTTTGTAGTTTTCAGGTTTGTAACTTTGTCATTTGACTGGGAAAAATCGTTGCATACTGATTGCCCCATGTTGGGGCTACCCACACATCCAAAGAAAACAATTTAAACACAGTGGATTCACCACAGCCCACCCAAATGTTTGGTAGCATAAAGAGGAGAAATGTTGTTTCTTTCCCTTTTGACCTTTTGGTTGACCCCGCAAAGGGAAACAACTTTACATTTGTAAAGTGTGGATTGGTCTGTTTAATTGGAAGAATTAATCCAGAACTAAGCGCAACTTTTAGTGCGCAATAGATATACAGTTTTTACAAAGGGTGGCACTGTATTTTTTTCGGAGAGCTACAGTTCTGCAGCTATAAGATTATCATATATTCAGAAAAATATAAGTGCTCTAAAGAGTAAAGTAAGTCAAACTTGTAAGGCTCAAGAAAACGTTAAATATACATACTTCTTCATGAATTCTGCAGGACCATATTTTTGTTCAACAAAATATTTTGTAAATAATTTGTAGATTTAACATGTTTCTTATTCGAAGACTTTTATCAACATTTAACCAAACTATCTGTTTTCCGACGATATCTACTTTCATTTTAAGTTTTAAAAATGCCGATCCCGATTCAAATCAGAAATGTTCCGTCCTTCAGATTTTTTTATGTTAAAAGAAAATGTAAAATTATATTTAACGGATATTCTTTAAATAAGTTTAAAGAATCATAGATTTTTAGAAAAAGAAAAATCTGGACTGTTTATATTTCAAAATGACACATTGACAACCATAGGGGTTTGTCTTCCGGATTGGTAATGTAAAATAAATAAATAAAATTTTGAATCTTTAAATACACCTAAAAGTTGTAAAATAAAGATTCTGACATTTTCAAACAAAAAAAAAGATTTAAAAAGACCACACCTATACACATATGCTCACGGGCATCTGACATTACTTATATTTTTCTTTTTAAAAAAACACCTACTCAATAAAATTTATGGAATTGTAACGGGCGGTTGCCCAATAGTCCCAGAATCAATTAACAGGAATCGATTTCAGTTTTAACCGTTTATTTAATTACAATAATAAAACATCCATAACAATGATAACAATGCTTACAGGTCAAATATAGACCGCTCTCTCCTCTAAACACGTTCACTTCCTTCAGTATAAAAATCAGCACTCTTCAAAATTACAACAGTCGTCAGTAATGATACCGTCGGGCTAACCCGGGCCGGGACGTACTGTGACGTCATACTCATAACATAAAAATGACGTTTAGCGCAAAATCAATAGAACAATAAGTATTACGCTAACAAAATAACAATAGGTATATTTTATACATAATAAACATAGATTTATGCTAATTTAATATCAGTTAATGTACACAAGTAATAATCAATTACTGGAATATTATTAATAATTAATAAATATTCAATAAAGATCTCAACTGTCACACTCCCCCCTTCCCAAGACCTAATGTACCATGTACATTAGTCTAAATTACTAGTATTAATTCAAATATTCAATGGACATTCAATGAAAATCTGGACAAGTATTAATGCTACATATGAAAGCATAATTAATGATACTGACATGTCATAATAAACGATAAGACATATGTACATATCTCATAGTATATAATAAATACTAGTAGTTAAGATATAAAAATGTTAAAGCAAACAGTCACAATATGAAACTGATTAAAGTTCACAAATCAAAGTTAATATTATGAATTACGCTTATAATACCAATGTCTCACTGTTCTGGAAAAAGTTCCTCGCGCTCCAGGAGTTCCGATATCTTTCTCTTCAGTGCGCGGTTCTCGCTTTCCAGTTCGCGGAGGGACGATCCTGGTTTTTGAAGTTGTTCTAAGCGCTCCTTCGCCACCAAACGCACACGGGCAATCCTATCTATCTGGCTACCAAGTTTAACGATATACATTTGAAGTGAGTCCTCAGTGGAAGGTATGGGAGGGATATAAAAATCATCATCACAATATGAAAGAGTCTGTGTAGATCTGGACTGGGGTTTCTTTAAATAATCAGCAATGGATATTTTCTTGGAGTTGGTCTGTGTTGCTAGTGTTGCAGGTTCCATCGAAGAAAGAGGAGATTCCACCATCGAGCAAGAAGACGGCTCCACCAACGAACAAGATAACGGTGCCAACGACGAAGACGAATGTGCCAACGAAGAAGATGGTTCCAACGACGAAGACGACTCCAACGACGAAGAAGACGGTTCCAGCGACGAAGAGGACGGTGCCAACGTCAAAGACAGATCCAACGAAGAGGACGGCTCAGTCACCGGGGGAGGAATCACCACAGTCCCGGGAGCAACATTCGCCATCGAGGGGAATCCTGTGGAGGAAGAAACGCCGGCTGTCTGGGAAGTCTGGGCACGTCGGAAGTTATATTTCAAAAGCCCAGGGTCGATATAATTCGTGGCCCTCACCATCTGGCTGGTAGCTTTGGCAATAATGGCTTCAAGGATGGAAGGATTAGTCTGCTTATGAATGAATTTCAGGTGACTCTTCATGTCGGATTTTCTTCTGACCAGTGCATGGCATCCATGGTGAGGGCACGCCCACTTCTGAACCTCCCGAACGTGACGCTCTTCCCAATGGCGCTGGAATTTCGCCCTCGATGGGAAAGTTCCTTGAACATTGCAATCTGCAATGGGGCATTTCATGTTGGCAACATAGCCAAAGTCCTGCACGTCCAAGTCAAAGACGGACTCTTCGAAGTAAAAGTCATCCTCAGCCATGAGGTCTGGAACATCTACTTGTCCATGGTCAATGTCCATGTTGAAACTTGACATAAATTCTAAAAAATAATAACATACTTTCAAATTCATAAACACGACAAAAACTGAAACTTTTATACCTGGTATTCCTGAACAAGACCTTTCTCTAGTCTAATGTTCAAGTGAATACATTTCACTAAGTTTCTCACAACGTACAAAATCGTGCATCACTCAATCACTCGTGCAATATCAACAATTGCTTACATGTACGAATACAGTCGATACACAACCGAAAGCAGTAGCCCATGGTTTCAAATTACATATGTATGCATGTATTACGTACAATAATCTCTACTATAACCCATTTCATATGAGTATAAAAACAATATTATTTATTTAGGACAATCTATGTCAACGAGTTCAACTTCTCATTCATGGATCTATGTTCATGGACTTATGTAAATCAATATTTTGTTACTCTCTTAATTCTTACGATGGACTCTACAACACCAACAACAAAGACTAATTGTCAATTAAATATGAATAACTTTTTTTATTTAATCTAGTTTATTATATTTATGGACTATAAATAACTTTAGACTTGAGGCGTCTGCCCCTTCTACTGAATCGTGGTGATTCGGGTCTCGGTTCAACCCTTTCATCACTTTCCTCCTCAGATGCATTGCTATTCTCAGCAATTGCAAAATTGTCTTCTAAGTTAAAGTCTACCCCCCGTCCCTCATCTGACTCTAATTTCTGTTTGAGTAATTTTAAATGGTCTACGTGTAC